ACACGAAAAGTCGGACACTCAAACAACTGAACCACCCAGGCACCCCACCCCCCCCAGTTAATATTTTTGTAACTCTGTTTTTTCACCTGTAAAATGATAAATTCAATTCTAAACTTTAAATTCCTAAGTTTTTTATGAACTGTAGGAATTTTGCCCAAATACTGAAAGTATAACAGGTATTAATGCCTCGTAGTGTACAACCCACTTCATCTGGAGTAAAGAAATAGGGTTCCCGTTTCAGGGTTTGAAAATGAAAAGAGTTTGTATAAAAAAAAAGAAAAAGAAAAGAGTTTGTATAGATGAGGCAAACTTAGAGGAGTGAGATTTTCTTTTCTTACTTAGTGTGGTGCATGGCTCTAAAAGCCTGCTCTGAGGCTTCAAACACAGCAGGACAGAACCTTCAGAAAGTCTTGAAGAGAATCTCTCTTTAAAGAACTCTTGGAAGTTCTTTGAGGGTATCATTTTTATTTAATACTTCGAAACCCTAAAGTGTTCATGGTTCTTCCTAAGGACAGAAAGAGTCTGTGCATCTTTGGTTAGTTTTGCAGTAAATATCTGTTTATCATTGTTAAATGTGGTTTAAATAAAATACATCTTTTTTTTTCAATGTCAACCTAAAATAATTTAAGATCGTAGTATTTAGTTTCATTATTTATGGTGTGTACTCTTATCCTAAAACTACTTCCCCTTTCTCCAAGAACAACTAAGTATATCTTAGCCTCTATAATACCACCACTAATGAAATTTTTCATGGGGGAAGAAATTCTTCCTGTTGACTAAAATAGGTTTTTTTGAAAACTGGATTTTAATTACCTCCTGTTCAAGTAAACTTAGAGCTTTTGTAGACATCTGTTTATTATCCCAAGCCTAATAGTCCCTAAAGGGAGTATAAATTTAGGCAAAGGAACCAAGGGATAAACAAGTGTTGGAGGAGAAGAGGTGAAAGAAAAACTTTATCTTGACTCTAAATTACTTTAGAGTAATTCTTTAAAAAAATTTTTTTACAAGAGTTTCTTTAAAAAATGTTTTTGATGTTTGGTTTTTTGAGAGAGAGAGAGAGAGAGAGACACACACAGAGTGCAAGTGGGGGAGGGGCACAGAGAGGGAGACACAGAATCAGGCTCCAGGCTCTGAGCTGTCAGCAAAGAGCGGGATGCAGGGCTCACACTCACACTTGTGAACCTTGAGATCATGACCTGAGCCAAAGTCAGCTGCTTAACTGACTGAGCCACCCAGGTGCCCATAAATTTCTTTAGTCTTCATTGTTTACCCCCAGTTTCTTCTTTATCTTCCGCCTGAATTTCTTCTAGATTCTTTGCCTTCATTAACTTGATTCAGATCGTAATTTATAGTTTATACCATCCCAATTAAATGAACTTTTCGCCACATCTCTGAGCACTCTCTCTTTTTTTTAGAGCTCATCTCTTATTTTCCAATAATTCTTCTAATGTTGGGGCGCCTGGGTGGCTTAGTCGGTTAAGCGTCCGACTTTCGCTTGGGTCATGATCTCGCCATTCGTGGGTTCGAGCCCCGCGTCGGGCTCTGTGCTGACTGCCAGCTCAGAGCCTGGAGCCTGTTTCAGTCTGTGACTCCCTCTCTCTCTGACCCTCCCCTGCTCACGCTGTCTCTCTCTCTCTCCTAGAAATAAATAAAACATTAAAAAAAAATTTTTTTTTTTTTTAAAATAATTCTTCTAATGTTTACCACTTAACCTCTGCTACACTGTTTGTTTTTTTTTCCCCTTATTTACTGGCATATCCTCTTCTTAGGTTACTTACTGTAGCAAAATTAAAATACACACTCTTTGGAGAATAGTGAAAATAATTATTAGCCACATTCAGGTTAGCAGCTCCTCTTCACATATATTTAAAGGTCACAGAGTGCCACTCTTTATTTGCTACAAATGCTAGTGTATATGTACCTGTGAGTGAGCAGGACAGATACTATTCTTTTGTACAGATGAGAAAACAGACTTTGAGACACTTCATGAATTGCCAAAGCCAATGCCAGGATTCATAGATGAGTTGTGGGTTAGAACTCAGATTTCCTACCTCTTAATATAGTACTTTTTAATATTCTTTTCCCATCACTCCTTTTTATTGTTTTGTAAAGTGGTTCAAAAAGAAGAAACTAAAGTGTAGAAATATTTAAGATAAATTCAGCTTAAATATCTCAAACTCAAAGTTTTTGAGTAATCAGGTTCAGGATCTTAATTAAGGGCTGTTTTATTTTCACTAATTAATGGCTATTTTATTTTAACCCGTATTGAAAATTTTTCTGAAAAATTCTTTTTTCCTCCCGACTTAAGTATATTCACTTTTTGAACTACTATAGCTCTTTTATTGCTTTAGAGTTAGTCTAGACAGAATAGTAGATTAGGCTGAATATATTGATTTGAGGAGACATCTTAGATGCTTGTGTTTTACTGAATCCCAGTTTAAGAGATTGCTTTCAAAAGGAAGAAATTTGGTTGATTGTAGCTTATGGCTTAGTTGGAATTCTGAGAACTGAGAGTTATTGTATGCAGGGTCTTTTATGTAGTAAATGAGGAGCGGAAAGCCTAATAATTTTATAAAAGTACTCTATGTACAACTTAATACTAAAACTCTGAAAAGAAACCACACCTGGAGGTAAGGAATCTAGGGAGGATTTTTAAATTGAGTATATTTTTAATTTTGATTCCAAAATAGGAAGTTGTGGCCAATAGGATGAAAATAATCATTAACCCTCTTAAAAGATCTGAAGTAATATTATTGCCCTTGAGAAAAGTAAGCATTGCAAATTGTATCACCATTCAACCTACTGTTTACGCCAGCCTAAATAAGAAGAGATGTTCTCTTTTTCTGCAATACATGCCTATCTTTAATATATTGGGCCTCACATAATTTCAAAAACAACTACAAAATATACTTTTCTGGCTCTTAATTAGTGAGTGTGCATATTTGTCCTTTCTTTGAAATCTCATAATTGAGCCCTAGATTCCAGAGTGATTTTCATGCATATGGAAGCCACTACTACTTTTCACAACGTTTTCTAATGAGAGTAAGGAAAATTTCAACCGTTTTGTTAATACCTTGCTTTTAAACCTTGTTGTTAACATGCTTGGAGAATTCTATTCATAAAAGTAGAAATGCTTTCAGTGTTGTATTTAAAATTTATGGATGATTGAGATTAGAAAACCAAAACATTTAAAAGAAAAGGGACGTTTTGAGAAGATGGCTTGTTTGTATATATTTAGATGTATATTCATTTATATGTTTTGTCAGAGACCAAAATTGAGGAAGAGATGTGGCTTCTGGGGGTTTGTGAAGAGAATTGATCAGAGATTGCTCCTTGGCTGAGTTGCTGTCTGCATAGGCTGTTAACAATTGTTTCTCTGGCAGCAGATCTTGTTCATCAGGATTGCATCATTTCTGGGAGAATGGCCAAGGTCCACAGCCTCAGTACAAAGACTGTCTGAAGCATATGAGGCCTGTTCTCTTTCTAAAGCGGCACTCCTCTTCCTGCCAGTCCTCTTCACAGGATTACTGAAGCAGACTTGTTCTGAATCTCTTTCATTGGATTGGCTGTTTATTGGACCCTTGTCTCCCAGCTGCTTCCGGCTCACCTGGCTGATGCAATTTCTTTTTCTGAAATCTCTGTTGGAATTGTTCTTAAAACACTTCTTGTATGTCTGCTCTGAGAGTGACCAGATAGATCACACAGGTCTTGTGCTTTCAGCAAGTCACATAGAGAAGAGACTGTCAGAATGACACAGACAGAGACTGTTGACCGTTTCTGAACCCAGTTAAAAAGATGGGTAATTATAAAACACTTCTGGCATCTTCTAATTAACATTTTCTCCAGAAACTATATGTGTATGTAAATGGTGACTTCTTTAAAAAGTGCTTAGTACTGGGAGACTGGTTGGTTCTGCTTCTGAATCCAAAAACTTAATACTGTTCCTGTGAATTCTGGTGACTTGTTCTGGAAATTGTTAAATTGATATGAAATTGGAGTTCTGATACATTCATTTTCCCACTACTGTATATTCATAATATTTAGTTCCCTTTTTCCTCATGTCATTTCTTACGTCTTTCTTTGTTTTTGCTAAAGGAGTCCACTTCTTTCTTGGTTTATTTTTTCTTCCTTTTACTATTACCTTCATACCTTTTATTTTTATAATCTGAGCATGCTCTTTTAAAATTGTTTTTAACGAATAGTTTATTTTCCAATTTTTTGTAAATAAAATATTGACATGAAAGTACATTTCTATTGCTTGGTAACTGGAATCCCACAAACAGCTCTTTTCACGTACATAGATACATTAACATTTTAGGTATATATTAACACATATATAGATATATTAACGTTATTTTGGTTAATGTTAAATTTGACTTTTTGCTGCCTAAAATCACCTATTTTCCTTTACTTGTTGGAGAGTAGAAAGTTATGTAGAAAGTTATTTAAGGCTCTAGTTTACCCTATGTTTCCATTATGAAGTTTGCCACACATAGAATTGCCTCCTTTTGTCAGTCGTTTTTTATAGCAGGACAGGAGGATAGGAGGATGGAGGGGAGGGAGGTAATATCAACTTCTACTTTAATAGGTGATTGTGGAGAGTAAATCTGACATTTGTTTTTTTAAAATGCCTCTGGATTTTGGGAGGGGGTCAGGATAGAAGAGGTACCTCCTAGGAGAGATAAAAAGAATCTCTTGGGAAATGGGAGAGAATTCTCATTTGAAGAAAAGAGAATTACCAAATAACATCATATTTTCCTCTTCTTAAGTCTAATAAAAATAATTTTTTTCTATTATTTAGGTTCTGGCTTTACAGGGAAATAGGATATGTTGATTAAAGGACAAAAATATAGTACTAAATGAAATATAGGATGATTAACAAGCTAGTGTGTAGAAATGAAACACATAAAGTTACTGTTAAAATATTCTGTATAATTCTATTCTTTGTGTCTATTAATGTTACTACTTTCTGTACTAATCTGTGTCCCAACTTTTTCTAGGTCTTCAGAGTTACTGGCAGATAATTTTGGGGGACTTCATATTCGGAGGTCTATAAAAAGGTGACTGAGTCAGATAAATCCTTTAAATTTGTTTTAAGCTTTATATTGTAATGAATACTACAATTACATGTTGAGATCATTGTGATTATAATTCATTCAGGAAACATTCTCGAAACCCTTTCTGTGTGCCAGGTACCATTTAGAACATTGAAACTACAACAGAGGATAAAACACAAAAATCTTGTCCTCATAGAGTTTATAGTCTTGTAGGAAGAGACAGAGAAATTAACAAGTAAAAGATATCCTGAAATTATTCCACCTAGAGACAGATTTAACACTCTAAGACACCTCTCCAAACTTTGTTTAGAGAACAAACTGGTAAAGTACTAAGCTTCTTCATAAACTATACTAAGAGTCTTGGCTTATAAAGCTAGAGTAATTATAATAAAATATTGTATATAGATGATCTGTTAAAATGACTTTAGTTAATATGTTAATAGTCATATTTTGCAGAGTGTTATTTAGGGAGGGAACGACTCTCAGGGTCATATGAGCCATTTGGTTTTGTTAACGTGTTTTGAATTAGGAAGCCTAATATTGTGAAAGTATTATTTAGAACAAGGTGGCCATGCTGTAAATGGTTGCCTTCATCAGGAAGGATCATGTAAAATTAGACAGGAGGAAGATGGAGGAATTCATGAGAAAGAAATTCATAGTTAACTAGTTAATATTTCTTAAATTTATCAAGTATCCAAATTACCTGTGTTGAGATTTCAGTAAGGAATGTGTTAATCACTTATTCATTAAGTAAATATTATCTGTAATAATTTTCCCATTGTTTCCTTTTAGTATATCTTTTAAAAATGGCTCTCAAAGATAACACAGCTTAAGTTTTTAAGTTGTCTTTCTTCTAGAAGCCTCCATTTTTTAATGAGCAAAATAGTAATGGCTATGACAAAGACTTTTTAATGGTATTGAATAACTTTTTTCTATCCTTTACTGAAGTTGTAACATGTGATTGAGATTTCTGTATTCAGGGAGGTATGATCATTATCAGACTCACCTAATGATCAAGCCATGCAGCTTCTGGGCTTTTTGGGTTTTGTTTGTTTACATTTTTCTTTTTAGTTCAGGTTATAGAGTGATACTAAAATTAGAGGAAGGGTTGTAACCAACAGTCCCCAATATTTAACTATTTTTTGAGCTTATTAAGTATTCTCTAATCTATTATTTGTAGATTTTATTTCAATTTCCCAGAGGCTTGGAGGATGTACTGCCTAAATTTGTTTTGGTACTGTTAGGGAAATGAAACATTTATGCGTAAGACAGGCCTAAGGAGTTAGGTTAGTCACTTCTCTTTTATAAACTGAGAAGAAAAAGTAGGAAAATTTGCCTTTTTCATTTCAGTCCCCAAGTCCAACAATATGTCCCCTTCTTGTATAGGAACCAGTGTCTGGCCTTCCCTCAGATTTGGAGAGTCGTAGATCTTGATGAGATCCAGCTCTTTAAAAATGTAGGTTCCAGGGAGGACTGCTTAGCTCAGAGCTGTTTCTAATATTCTAAAACAACAACACAAAAGTTTAATATTGTCTTAATGATTCTTAAAGATCTTGGCCTTATTCACTATTCACAATTGGTTTTCTTATCCACATTAATTTACTTCATATATCGAAAAAGATTTCACGTATCTCACATGGTCTACCATTTAAATTTTGCATTATTCCCTGAATTTAGTTAGTATCTTGTACTTTTCATTGCATTAAATTTCTTTAATATAAATGTTTGATTTATCTTCTCATTTGTCTTTCCATGAATCAGTATATCAGTCATTATTAACCTGGGTCTTTAACATTCACACTTTCTTCCCTCCCACATAAAACGCTTTTTATTTCATTCTTTAATGGCTTAATACAAAACCACTAATGTGAAATCATAATGAGTACATTTTTCCCCCTTTGTACCATACCTTCAAATTTCTTAATGTACTTTTTTTTATGATTTTATTTTTTTAAGTAATCTCTACACCCAACTCAGCTTGGGGCTCAAACTTACAATCCAGAAATCAAGAGTCATGTGCTCTGCCAGCTGAGCTAGCCAGCAAGTAGCACCTCACTCTTAATGTACTCTTGACTTTTTACAGTTTAGTAGTTTGTGAGTCTTTGTGTTCCCAAATTCCACTGGTTATAGGTCAGCAACTCAAGGTATCCTCTCCTTTTCCATGGAAAATTTTCTTTATCATGAAACCATACTCTTTATGGTTTATGTTTTTATTTATTTCGTTTCCATTTTTTTTTTAAGTTTTATTTATTTTAGAGAGTGAGCAAGCAGGGAAAGGGCAGAGAGAGGGAAAGTGAGGATCCCAAAAGGCTCTGGTAGCACAGAGCCTGATGTGGGACTTGAACTCATGAACTGTGAGATCGTGACTTGAGCCAAAACCAAGAGTCAGATGCTTAATTGACTGAGCCACCCAGGTGCTGCTGTTTTCATTTATACCTGGTAGTGGACATTGCCTCACAAATATAGTTAAGGTAGTTGCATCTTCTCCCAAAATTATAGTTACAATAAAATGGTTTCAGAGAATGAAAAGAGGGGCACCTGGGTGGCTCAGTTAAGTGACCAGTTCTTGGTTTCTGCGCAGGTCTCATGGTTTGTGAGTTTGAGCCCTGCAGCGGGCTTCATGCTGACAGTGCAGAACCTGCTTGGGATTCTTTCCTCTTTCCCTGTCTCTCTGCCCTTCCCTGCTCACTGTCTGTCTGTCTCTCTCTCTCAAAATAAATAAAGTTTAAAAAAGAAAAGGAAGAGAGTGCTCTGTGACATAAGACGGCAACAAAAACAGCTGTATCTAATCAAATACAAACAGAGCTCTTTTATCATCACATTTAATCTGGAAGAAATAACATTGTTGGCTGCTGGTAAAACTGCATTTATTTGTGACCGGGCGGGGGACTTTAACTGAAGATATTTAATTTTTTTTAAGTAATCTCTTAAAAAAGATGGGGATTGAACTCATGACCCTGAGATCGAGTAGCATGCTATACAAGCTAAGCCAGCCAAGCACCCCTAAGTGAAGATCTTTAATTATTAAAGAATTTAGTTAAACTCTGATATTTCTGTTTACTTACATTAGAACATACTATATAGGCTGCCAGAAAATTCTGTTTCATGAGCAGTTGTAGAAAGGTGGAAACGTACTTACTAGTTAAGCAAGGCAGACCATTACTTTCCCTTTTGCTAAAAAGCAAAAAATTTTTAAAAAATGAAAAGCAAGCACAACTTTCGCTACCCCATTTTGTAGAACATTATTGTAGTACACAATAAAATAGGACAGTGTGTAGACCCTTTGCTGTACTTGTTTTATTTATATTCACCCCTTAAAAGGCTTATTTTAAAAATGGAAAAAATATTCTGTAGCATTTAGAGTAAGTTTAAAGAACTGTCAGGTTACTAGATACTTTCCTTTTCTGTGGCAGGATTCCTCATGTCCATAACATGTTGGTTAAAGCTGTGCAGCTCACCCCCACTCTCAGAGTGGCCAGTCTCCATTAATTGGACCCCGTGATTTTCACTCTCTGCTGTATTGGACGTCATGAGCATTGCAATCCCTCTGGGAGTCACCACACCAGATACATCCTACTCAGATATGGCTGCTGGATCAGAGTAAGTGCTACTTTCTAGGTAGTAGGTGCATTACCAGTTTGTGTGAAGATAACTTTCTAATGGGCATCTGATAATAAGTATGCAGTATTTTCTAAACCCAAGCCTAGCCCACTGTAAATGACATTAATTAGACCTTTCCCTTTTCGCCCATAGAAACTGGAGGAAAAAAAAGAGTTAGAAAGGGGAGGAAAAGAATGGGGTGGGGGTGGATTTCTTAGTAAATAATATCATTGAATTAACTTTGCAAAGTAGTGATTACATTTTCATTTGTTTTGATGGGTTGGGAAGATTGAAATAAAGTAGGTGTCACTACCTGCTTGTGTAGAGTTAATGATTATTCTAATGGAGATCAGGAGTTCTCTCCAACTGATTTTCCTTGAAGGCCTCTTCCTATGTACTTCTCACTGTTCTAGAGTAAAGGGGCTAAAACTTTATATGGGCAGGTTACTTAGAACTTCTGATATTTGGGATAGAAAACATGGAAAGCAGTGTCATCTGTTTTTTAATGTAATATTCATTGCCTAGAAAGAGGACCTTCAAAATCAGTGGTACCAAACTTTTTTTTCAGCTAAGAGCAGCTTTAGGAATTCAGAATTTGTCGAAAAGCCCAATCCCTAAAATAGACTCTCAATTCTTGAAGAATTTAAATACCAAATGGCAATGAAGGTAGGCCTTCATTATAAAACTTTATATATTATTCACAGTTTAAAAAATTTTAGCTTTTTGTATCCCTTCTCTTTTAAGTTGTCCAAGATTCCCCCTGCTCACAGATTCCCCCTCTTGTCCTTTTACCTCCCTTGTACCCAATCTTCCTTGCTTACAGAAAGGAAGTGGAAGCCCCCTACCTTTCAAGACGAAGTGGCACTACACCAGGATGTGAAAGTCCAGCGAAAGAGACCCAAGGGGCCTAGGGGGCAGCACACCCCCAGAAGCCAAGTCTATTCCAGGCAGTACCAGGGATTAGGGTCTGGGCTGGAAAAATCCTGGTGTTTTGAATATGTTCAGGTCCAGTTCAGACTCTTGATCCCACAGCCACTTCTTGAGTGAGGTGGGTGTTGCTCTAATTCCCCTGTTTCTCTTGCCATTTTCATAGTCCCTGGGGATTCTTCCCCCTAAAGCAAAGCAAAGCAACTGTACCAGAGCTCTGGGTTTAACTGCATCCCTGATTAATAGTGGTTTTCTTCCTTAAAACTGAGAACATAGTAAAAAGCATGTTTATTTCTTCACAAAGCCACCTAGGATTACTTACCTGTTTATTGTCTTCCTTAAAGAGGAAGTCTTAACATGAACCTACCCTAAGGAGCAATATTTTCTATTCTGGGGTAGTCTAGAACTGAAAAATGTTGGCCTTATTCACATATAAAAAGGAGGGTGGGGGGTGGGAAAGGTGGAATTGTGTTCCCTCCAGGGCTTTTTTTCCTGTTTTGGTTTTGTTTTCATTTTTTTTGCATGCCAAAGAAGATTCAGTTATGCCAGTAGCTGAGACTTCCAAGTTTACAAGTACTATTTCCCAAATTTCGTACTGAAAAATCTTCCTGCATTAGGAACTATAATTGTGTAGTGTTCATGGATGTTTATTAAGTCAGTTACTACCTCTTATGGATTGACTAACAAACCACACAGGTAGACAGTGTTAACAGTGGTGAGAAATTTCTACAGAGAGATTAAATCAAATTAATTTGATTAACCCCAAATTAAATTAATTTGGGATTCGTATAAAAAGATCTAAAGCAATTATTCTTAAAACTGGTGTTTTTCACAAAGTACAGAGATGACCACCCATAAATGCTGCTGGGTAGTCCAGAAGTAATTGTAGACTTCAGGCCTAAAAATTTGACTGCAATGTTTCTATTTCCTGAAAATATTCATTGTAATCTCTTGACAGATTTCTGATACTGTTGTCATAACTAATTGCACAGTTGTTTAGTATTTCTACAAAGCAAGAGAATGTCAACAATTTGCTTATGTACCATTCTGTTACATTTTAGATGATATTTGTTAATGTTTCACCATGCATGTTCCACTCTTCCTGCATATTCCACTCTTCTGGGCACTCTAAGATTAAACTTGGTATGAAGGGCAACATACTCCATTAAGTAAAAGACCTAGATTTTATCTCATGGGTTTTTAAATCTGATAGCAACAGTATACATTATGCATTTCTGATGGATTTGTAGGAGAACCTCTAGAGGTAACAATAGAAGCAAGGATTTTTCTGAATTTGCAGTTATGCCATAAATGGATTCAGACATTTTCGAAGAGGTAGCATTATAGAAGCAGGTTGCATGTTGTACTTAAAACACAATCGATGCCGAATCTGTTGTAAGCATGGCTTCTGTGTATGTGCCCGACTCTCATAGCAGTTCAAGAATAGAGGAAGAAAGACAGTAATTACATTTGGATAAAATGGTTCGCTAATAAGGAAACACAATCCTAACACTCCAGACTTTTAATCCATATTTTAAAATATAGAAAAAAGCTGATATATATATGTCAAGGACTATATATATATATATATATATATATGTCAAGGACTGTCCTAGGAAATCGTATAGTTATCTGTCAACATGTAACTAATTAATAACCACTATGGAAATTGCAGTTTTCTCATCAAAAGATAATGAGTTTAAATTTTAGTATTTCGCACGCATAGCAATATATTAAATGCTGTGCTTTACTAGGAAGTATTGTCCAGTGGGATGGCCTTTTAACCTCCACAATATACATTTTATTTTTATTCCCTAGACTTGCACATGAAGTGCATATGTTCATATTTACCCAGTTTGGAGATGGGTAAGATACAACCAACATAGCTCCATCTCCATGGCCATATTTTATTTCATGCTACATTCCTTTTTCCCGTCCAGAAAAACTCCATTTCTAATAAACAGCTGCCATATTTCACCCCATGTCTTCAGTGGTACAAAATATCTTATACAAAATACGTACAGCTCTTTGGAATACTTGTTTATCTAGTGAATTAACAATGTTGTGGAAAGTTATTACTTTCTCTTAACTGTCCATCATAGAAACTAAATTCTACCTTCATTTTATTAATGCTTGTGTGCCTTCAGTTTCATTTAGGAAACCCCACCTGTTTCCTAATACTCAGAGCTGATTGCCTCTCAGTGAGCCATGTCAGATCATCTTTTCTCAAGAATACTGACCTGCATTCTTGATGTACCTCCCACCCCAGTTCCCATCTTGCAGACACTCTTAAAGAATAAAATGCATGCACTTCACTAACAGAATACTTTCCTATGTCTAAAGTTCTTCTTCACCTAGAAATTACCTTTGCTGTTATTAATAAGATCCCTTCTCACAGTTTTGGAGCATATAACTGGGTGAGTTGGATATATCTCAGAATTTTCTTTTATCCCTCACTTCTCAGCTGACATTGCACCACATTGAACTGCACACTTTATTCCTGCCAAGTCCAGTATATTGTATACTTCCAAGCAGGATAAATGTATGTTCCTTAAAGCAAACTATGCCTTATTTGATTTCCTAAAAGACCCTTTCATCTCTAAGGCTAAGTTAATACATGTCCTTGGAGTTTCTGATTTGTTAATCTCTGTTCTAGTTAACATAAATGACAGATAATCTATTACTAAGTTCAGGAGAGTCATATGATTATATTCCTTAATTATCTTTCAAAATTCCTTAAAATCTAACCAGGTAACAATCAGAGTTAAAAGTTCTTTTTTTCCCAAAACTTGTATTTTGTCCTTTGTTACCTATGCCTTTTCATTATCAAGTAAAGGCTTATGTTAAATTTCTAAATTTGAACTCACTTATAATTCTTTTATATTAATAAGTTACACTTGAACAGTTTGCTTTCTACTCATGAGGGTATAAAAAGATTCTAAGCCAAGTTTCTCAATAAGCCTGGTTACTTAAATTTTTGAAAATAGAATGTTGTCCTGGTTTTCCAAACCAGTTAGACATAGTAGAAAGAGCACAGGATTTGGAGTTAGACATTGTTTCGAATTCTGGCTCTGTCAGTGTGTGACCTTGAAGTCACAATCTCACCACCTCAACTTCTGTAAAAATGGGGTGCTATTTACCATGTTTACTAGTTACAGAGTAAATAAATTAATGTATATCAAAGCACCTGGAAAATAATTGGTGATTCAGAATGGTAGCCACTACTACTCTTAACTGTTTATCAGTAGACAATAACTTCTGAGAACACAGTTTTGATTATTTTGAAGTTCTGTGGTATTACCATGCAGCTGTTAAGTAATTGTGTCCTTGATATGCTTGCATGTCATTGGTGGATGAGAAATTATTACTCTAATATTTGAAAGGTGTTTGGGGGTTCATCCAGATGAGAGGTATGATAAATATAAGATGCCGTTGTTTTTACCTGTACTTTCTTCAGGGTATCCTGTCTTGGTAGTGAATGGAAGAGGGCCTGGTCCCTGGGGCAGTGCAGAAGGCACTTTCATCATCTCACTCACTGCAAATGTCATGTGAGGTTTCATGGAAGTATTAAGAGATCCAATTAAGAAGAATAGTTCTGAGTCTAAACCAGCCCAGAGTGGCTTCTCTAGGGGAAACTCCCTGCTCAGCTGGTACGTTTGTGTTTGTCATTAGGGACACCTTGTATTCCAGGTGCCTGCCTTGAGACATCTGCCTGTACTGGCTTCATGTTACACACAAATCCACATTTAATAACACTCCTGTTATTTATAGGCTTAGTTATGTTAATCAGATTGTTTCACTGAGTTCCTTCTCTCATTCTAGTGGCTGGTGGTTGTGGAAAGAGGAGGGGTTAGAATGGGAAGTTAAAGTCTTAGTTTAAGGGAAGATTAGGTGTTATGCTATCATGCATTGCTTTTCGCCTTTGTGCAGCCCTGAATCTGTGGAGGCTAGTCCAGCAGTTAATGAGAAGAGCGTGTATTCCACTCATAATTATGGGACCACTCAGAGGCATGGGTGTCGAGGACTGCCTTATGCTGTGAGTATGCATTTGTTTCTCTCCAGAGCAGTGATCTTCCTGGAGTGTAATCCATTCTTATACATTGTGACTTTCTTGAAATGTTTATATGCAGCATGACGAAGTTGCCCCTTTTGCACTTCCCTGCCTCCAGCGGACGTCTAGCCCTGCATCATTGTTCTTGTTTTTATGTCCCAGTTGACCTTGGCATTTTGTTTTATCACTTTCCTGGTTGAAGCCAAAAAACAAAGGGTACTACTTTCTTCTTTCTTTCCATATGTACCATACTTTAGGGGAGAGAGGGGCCAGTGTTTGGACACTGTTGATTTAAAAAATCTTATTTTCAGGATCATAATTACGGAGCCCCTCCTCCTCCGACACCTCCTGCTTCTCCCCCTGTCCAGACGATCATCCCTCGTTCTGACCTGAATGGCCTGCCGTCGCCCGTAGAGGAACGCTGTGGAGACAGCCCGAACTCTGAAGGAGAGACTGTTCCTACCTGGTGTCCTTGTGGTCTTTCTCAGGATGGCTTCCTTCTCAACTGTGACAAGTGCAGGTAAGATCATGCTCCATCTCAATTCAAGCCTGGGTTGCTGGGTTTAGGATTTCTTACTAGTAGGGAAAAGCTCAAAGTATTCTTTCTTGTGTTTGTTAATGTAGATGATTCCTTAGTGCTCCTTGGCTCGAATTCTCTGCACTAGGTGAGAATTGCTGACAACAAGGAATGAGAGATTGATGTTAAAGCTATTGAATTTGATATGAAATTTAATGTCCTGGAAACATTTGGTAGGTGGGAGGAAGGGGGTAGTATACGCAGAGACACATCTCCCACGTGTGTGAGGATGTGCTGCATGCTCTTGGAAGGACTACTTTAAGTTTATTTTCCCTCTTTAGGGGAATGAGCAGGGGGAAGGTTATTAGACTTCATCGGCGGAAGCAGGACAACATATCAGGTGAGCTGAAAATGGGTTGGGCCCATATTTTGACAGATAAATATTTTGCAGTTTACATAATCATCTCAAGAACTCCTGTAAGTTCCCATGGTCCCTAACTCTTCATGAAGAGAAAGCTGCTCTCTTACAAGCACATTGTACTTCTCTTGTTGTGAATTAATGTATCCAAAAACATTTTAGCCCTGAAGTAATCAATATATGTCTTGTGAGCACACACACCAAATAATGAGATCCTTTTACTGTGTTACACATTGAGGCGATGGAGCTTGAGAACTCACCCCAAGGGAAAAAGTATATATGATGTAGAACAGGGTTTCTATGCTTGATCCAGTGATATAGAAAGAATCTTGATTTCATAAGGAAGGTGGGTATTTATGTTCTAAAGATGACACAGTTAATAGTAAGTTATGACTTCCTGGACATGGAGTAGAGGTAAAGGAAAAAGCTGCTTTTAATGCACTTTTGAGACTGTTTGCACAATGTGTAAACTATGAAATAACTTTTTTCCAGGTGGGGATAGCAGTGCAACGGAAAGCTGGGATGAGGAGCTTTCTCCTTCCACTGTGTTGTACACAGCAACACAGCACACACCTACAAGCATCACCTTAACTGTTAGAAGAACCAAACCCAAGAAGCGGAAGAAGAGTCCAGAAAAGGGTCGTGCAGCAGCAAAGACGAAGAAAATCAAGGTATGAAGGGTAAAAGTGTCTTAAGTAGAAATATATTGATATAGTTCAAATTCTGGACCAAGAAGGCACCAAAATTCTTTTAAGAAGTTTGATCCAGTTGTTTGAAGGGCCACTCTTGCTCTACTTGCAAAAATCGGCTAATCTATGTTGTGAATATGTAGACCAGCCTCTCTTCTGCCACTCCATACCATCACAGCTGGCACAAAGTTTCTTCTCCAAACCCCATCCCAGGTAGGAAATCCGAGCCCCACCTGGCCAAGCCCGTAGCCTCCAGTCTAGGCTTCTGCTGTCCTTCAGTATCTCCCCACCTCCTCAGTCCCAGAAATGCAGTCTGAAATTCTTGTCCTGGAACATGCCCACCTCATGTCATTGGGTTGATTGTTTTTTCCTTGTTTCAAAAAAGTTAGGAAACTTCTCTTCAATGGTTTAGGCTTCCTCAGTGTTGTGGTCACTTTCCTGTATTCTCACCTATAAAGTCTCCAGGAGAAACCTCTTTGTTTTGTGTTCTTTCTTCCCCATCATGGCAACTTTGTTGCTCCTAGATGACTTGCCCACCCCTTGTTAAGGGGATTGGTCTTTGTTTCCTTCTTAATTTCAAAACTGGTAAATCTGCAACCTCACGAAATGTTTTTATTTTTCTTTTAGTGACAGGAGCGCATATAGGATTAAAGTGATGCATGCTCTTCCCTGTTAATTACCTAGTTTCACAATGGAAAGTGTTAGAATTAGCCTCAAAGTTCACTGGCCTTGAGCTGCCCTTATTCTTGATAATAGTGTGGGGAATTCCACTGTATTTGTCACCTAGGGAAAAGGGGACAGACTAAAACACTAGTTCTTGCCTTAGTTTTAGTCTCAGATAGGTATAACTGTCATTCTTGGTACCAAGTTTTGTTTTGTTCTACTTGTTTTCCTCTTTGGGATAGGCATTTCGAGAGGGATCCCGGAAGTCCTTGCGGATGAAGGTAAGGGGTATTCTTCCCTGATGCTGTGTTTTACTTCACTGTGATCTTGCATTTTGGTCAGCTTCTTTCCTGACGTTGATGGTCTGGGAATCTTGGACCCTGCTTTTTGTTAGTTTGTAATTGTTGCCCTTCAGTTTTCATAGAGCCTTTCTCTGAAGTAGGTTTTCTTGGCCATTTTCTGAAATATTTTCCCTTTCTATAATGAGCCTTCATTTACTGGTTTTTCATTAGCTGCTTTTCTGGTGGGTGGGGGGTGGGGGAAGTGACATTTTACCAAACAAAATGAGGCTAATGTGTTCTGTCATTGTAATTGGCCTCAGCCTCCGAACTGCAATTTTTCTAGTGATATGGGGTCTCTTGTACACCCACCCTAGCACCATTTGGACTTTAAGCACTGGTTGGAAGGATAATTTTCATCAGTTAGAAAAGTAGTATTGTTGATAGGAATTATTCTTACTGGAATTAACTTTTGAACTGTTTTTTCTCTGGCATATCTATTTGATATAGAAGATGCAGGTTATGCTAGTGTGTTTCTTTTCTTCATTTATCAAATGAAAGAACTTATTAGGTGATACTGGATAGTGGTTGGAGATTTGAGAAATTATGTGCAGTGGTTTAAAAGGACTTTAGGTACGGGTGATAACAGTTTCTCCAAAGGAGATTTGATTCTACTATCTGGTATTTTTCTTTACCTATGTATGTAAGAAGATAGCATAGCTCCCAATTCATTACTTGTGGCTTCATAACATTTACTTAGAACTAAGATCTAATTTAACTTTATAAGCATTTCTATCCCTAAATGTGTAAGTGATTAAAAGCAGGGTCTTTCCTGTTGACAGTTATATGGCATAAACATTAAAATCTTTTAGTAAGGAAAATCTTTATTAGAATTAAATTACTTAAGTATCTGTTGAGTACCAATCAATATGACTGATGTTAACAAAGATCACAGGTGACACTTTATCTAAAATTTGAAGGCCTCACTTTGCACATTCCCATAAACAGACTGGTACATACCTGTAAAAGCAATGGGAAAGGACTTAGAGCCCATGAGCATCAAGGGTCCTGGGATGTTTTGGAACACAACTTACTCATTATGTTTTGTTTTGTTTTGTTTGCTAGATCTGTCTCCTGTAAGAGGTCACATTTGCTTAGAAGGGACCTTAAATGGACTTATGGGGCAGACATAGCCCCGTTCCCAACTATTAAGCCCTTTTTTCTCTTATCAGCTAACTGCTGTAACTTACCTCCAGATTTTCAAAACTTTTGAAAGCTATTGATTGGCTGTCCCTGAAAACTACATATAAACATGTAAATTACTTGTATTTTCAAGATGTTGACAGTTCCTTAGGCATTTAAAATTGAAGTAACAAAAAATAAAATAAAATAAAATAAAATTGAAGTAACAACAGCAAAAATACTAGTTTCTTTTGATTCTCATATCAGAATTCCAAGTTGGGTTATAAGTTTGTACTCAGAATTAATTATTAGTAAGAGCACCACCAGAGATGTGGATGAGAGACATAAGAATGAGAAGTAGTCATTGTTTGGATTTGTATCCCAAAATGAAGAGTTCACCTACTGGAGACTAGTCATAACCACTAGGTGCCGGTAACACATACACCCAGGTGTGGTAATCAGAAATGACTTCAGATATTACCAAATGTCTCCTAAAGGGAAAAAAAAAAATCATCTCTGCTTGAGAACCATGCTCTAAACCCATTGAATTGGGTTTCTAGTACCCAGAAGAAGGTAACAGCAGAGTAGTCAGAGTTCTGTTAGTGAACAACAACTAATAATGTAACAAAGGCTTCTAGTATAAATTAAGTGTAGTTAAATCATCAGTTTAGTGATCACGACTGAATGCTTAAACCTGGGAATACTGTTTGGGACCCCGTAATCCCCAGTCTGATAAACACCCTTACATCTCAAGTTTTGTAGTTTTCTTTTGCTTAGCTGCTCCTGATACTTCAAGCAGGTGATACTGTGTTCTCAGTGTGTTGGCCGTAGGTGTTTCTTAGATTCCTTTGTTTATTGTTCATTCTTTTGGACTGTGGTGAGAAGGGTAGAAAAATGAAAGTGTTAATTTTTTTTTCATTTCCGTGTTCCTTGGGGAAAGGATGATAGACAACAGGCAATCAAAAACAGTGACACAAAAGTGAAAGAAAGCAATTGTTAAAATAGGTATAAATGTTTTCTGTCATTCATGGAAAGTATTTATAGTTTTCTTATTCTTGTAATTGTAACGTTAGTTTGGACATGGATTTGCGAGTAGCTTTGGTATTATGGAATCTTTTCCTTCTAGTCATCACTGGTATGACATCATCACTATCAGTTATTTGTTTTGTTTTCTGAGGACACTTTAACACCATGGAGGAGAACATGTGTCAGACTTAAGCTGTGTCTCTGTGTCTCAAATGCAAAAACTGTTTAGGACAGTGTTGTTGACATAATAATTCTTTTTGAGAATTATCACCATAGTGAGCAGTGGTTTTCCTAGAGAAGTATAGCAAAGTACCTCTCAGCATTTTCTGTACTCCATCTACCCACTTCCCTGCCCCCACCTCACTTCTTCAGACTGCAGCTGTTGCAACTGTCAGAAATAGAGTGCTAGAAGGATGCACTCCAAAATGATAACTTTGTCTCTGGGAGGCGAGATTATGGGTTATTTATTTGGGTCACATGTATTTTTAGACTTAATATGTATTTAATTGTATAATGAAAATAATGAGTCACAAAAAAGAAAAAAAAACCATCCTCTTGGAGCGTAGTGAAATACTAGTTTAGGCTGGTACACTAACACAGATGTTCAATTAAGTATGGAAATTTAAACAGTGTGATCTTTTCAGGTATCTCTGTTGTTTTTATGAAGATTTCTTGTGAACTTGATTTCATTCTTCTGATAGAAACAAAATTTATTTCTATGATTTAAAAATGGTCATAAAATCACAGTGATGTGATGGAACTATGATCCATATTAATTCCTCACTTTATAAATGAGGAAACTTCTTGTCTAAGAAGTTGTTCAAGGCCTCACATCTCATTGGTAACAAAACTGTGATAGAAGCCAGATCCCCTGACTCCCAGGCCATTGATTGCTCTTTTATGCCACACCACCTGCCAAGTGAAAACTAATTTTCTCTGGAAATACAGCCTGTTTTTCCCCCATTTTTATGCATGGGTTCTCCTAACCTACCTGACCTTTGTTCTCTACAGAATTCTCCTTCTGAAGCACAGAATTTAGATGAGAATACAACTGAGGGATGGGAAAATCGGATAAGACTATGGACTGATCAGTATGAAGAAGCTTTCACTAATCAGTACAGTGCAGATGTACAGAACGCCCTTGAACAACATCTACATTCTAGCAAGGAATTTGTGGGCAAACCTGCTATTTTAGACACTATTAATAAGACTGAATTGGCCTGTAACAATACAGTTATTGGTTCCCAAATGCAGGTAAGGATCAAAAGGTAAAAGACTCTCTATAAGTAAGTAGTTGAGACTTTCTGAACCCAGAGAGAGGGCCTATGATGGGATTACCATTTCTTTGAAATGTATAAGCTAATAACAAATTAGCCAGCTGAGGAGCATCTTGAACTAAAAGCAAGTTGAGGTGACTAGAAACTGTCTGGATACATATTTTTAAAGTATTAATTAAAGATAGATAAATTAAGATCGGAAATTGTATACAACCTCAGTAGGGGATTTTAAGATTAATAATAGACATAGAGCCACTAAAATCTTAACTGTATATTTTTCTTTGATCTTTTCTTGCTTTTTGTGAGGGAGGCGGTGACTGGTTTATTGGGTGGAGCCTGTTTCCTAGAAGCTTTTATCATTCAAAATTTTCTGATTATTGAGCTAAATTGCATACAGATAAAACCTGAAAATATTGGTGCCTTTTCCTCATTTAGGAAATATTTCAGTTGTCTACCATGATGCTGATGCTGTTGTCTAATGTTAATACTCTGGTTTTACTCAGCTACAGTTGGGAAGAGTCACTCGTGTTCAAAAGCACCGGAAGATCCTGAGGGCTGCAAGAGATTTGGCTTTGGACACTCTTATAATAGAGTATCGAGGGAAAGTCATGTTACGACAACAATTTGAGGTCAATGGGCATTTCTTCAAAAAGTAAGAACATCATTCACTGAGCAGTAAGGGCTAAAGTGGGCCTGGCAGAGTGGTATGGCTGTAAAAAAAAAAAAAAAAAAAAGAAAAGAAGAAATATCCTGGTTGATAGAACGCTCTTGGGGAAAAGATTAGAACTCAGATAAGCTCAAGTCCGTCTGCTATTTAAAAAAAAAAAAAAAAAAGTGCAAATAAATCTACAAATTGTTTAATGTATAAAGTGGTAATGACACTTTTGCAAGCCAAGCATTTCTTGCTTTGTGCTTGTTCTGTAATCAAAAGCAGACGAGCATGTGATGTTTTTCAAGTTTAGGAATTGCAAAGGACTGCTGCTGCTTCTGTCAGCATATGCTTCGTATCTGAAGTAAAGTCATGGGGTGGCCTTTTTATTTGTGTTGAGAATTACAGGAATTTCACTTATATCCCTTAGACCATACCCCTTTGTGCTCTTCTACTCAAAATTCAATGGTGTAGAGATGTGTGTGGATGCACGTACTTTCGGTAATGATGCTCGGTTCATCAGAAGATCATGTACACCGAATGCAGAGGTAAGATTTCTATAGCAACTTCTCTTTGAATGGAACCACCAAACGACAAGTCTCCTGAAGATGCAGTCTGAAAACTTCACCCAGATTAATTTAAGGTCTGTAGATAATCATTATGATCTGTTATCATAAGAGACAAAAAACAAAAGTAATGATGCTTTCATTCTATCTAACAGGATGGGGGCAAGCAGGGGATTTTCTTAAAGGAGGCAGGAATGGGAAAAAGCAAGTTAACATTTGCTAAAGAGAAATTTCCTATTAAAGAAATTACTATATGATAGAAAATGTCATTAGGCTCAAACTAAGCTATGTGTTTGCACTTTTTTAGATTTTAGGTGATACTGTTGTAAAAGATGCTAGACATTTCTAGAATTTATTACTTGAAGCATAATCAGTTCAACTACATCAAATGCAGCAAGAAAAACCACAGAGCTTTTCTTACAGGTTAAGGAATTTTAATTCTCTGATGCAACTGACAACAGCTTTAAGTGGAGAGCAGAGATCTTACCCTCATTACTAACATCTCGGGTTTTCTGTATTTCAAAGAGTATTATAAATTTTCAAACAATTACTGTGTAATAGTTTCATATGAAATGATGGAGTAAAGTAACAGACTACCATAACTCTTAAGCGGAGAGATACTATTTTGGCAAAAGGTTTTTTTCTCTCTTATGGAGAGTTTCTGGTCTTTATGGTAAATTGTAAACCATAATCCATGTTCACACAGGTGCGACACATGATTGCAGATGGGATGATTCACTTATGTATCTATGCAGTGTCTGCCATCACCAAGGATGCTGAGGTCACGATAGCATTTGATTATGAGTACAGTAACTGGTAAGACCTCCAAAACCTTTCCTAAATGAATGATCTTGTCTTAACATATTACATGTTAAGCTCTTTTATTGGTCTGCTTTTTTTCCTTGTCATTTCCCCTTTTTTTAACCTAATCTTTCCATGAGAAATGCATTTTTTTTGTCTGAAAATTGTAGAGGGAAAGACAGAGTTAGGGTTGGGTTTTTTTGTTTTGTTTTTTTTTCCTAGAGATACAGATACGTAGTATGACAGTGTTTACTGGTCTCCTAACCAAAAGTGTTTTGTCTTTGTCTCTATAGCAAGAACAGTAAAAGGGTAGGTATGAGATACTCCTAGAAATTACAGTAGCATCTGTTGTTATGCACACAGCACTTGTGCCAGGATTCATATAGAGTGAAAATTTTAAATTTCACCCCGTCCATTCAAACTGTGTAGTCTATCTGAATGAGACAAAGCAGAAAAACTAAGATGGCAAGTCACGGATAAATATGTGATGGATTTTGTAAAATTGATGCTTTGTCTCTCTTGATCCTTTTAGACCGAAAAGGTTATGTGGTAAATTGATGTTCAACACAGATAAGAGAGGAAAAGTTATTAGGAATAAGTAGGGAATCATTAGGATAAAAGTGAGGATGTGGTGAAGGTAGGCACAAAAGAAGTATAGCCTCTTTAGACACTATTAATGATTCACCAATCACTAAGTAGCATGAAAACACTTGGGAGAATTGAACTTAGTGGAGACTTGCTTTCATTTCCACTGACCACATGTAGAGGAAGAGTTGGGGGTTATAGAGCAAATGAGTACCAAATATTGAGAAGTATTCATAGGATTCTAATCTGTTTAACTTATTCAAAAATAATACTAGAGGAAATTCCTGTAGTGTTATTCCAAGAGAATGAATGGAACAGTATGACTGGTTTTTCAAGGGTACTAAGACAAGCACTCTTGGTTGTTTCTTTGGAGCAGTAATTATAAAGTGGACTGTGCATGTCACAAGGGGAACCGGAATTGCCCTATACAGAAAAGGAATCCCAATGCTGCAGAACCACCACTCCCACCTCCTCCAAGCTTACCCACCATAGGAGCAGAGACAAGACGTAGAAAAGCACGACGGAAAGAGCTAGAGATGGAGCAGCAGAATGAGGCTCCAGAAGAGGATAACAATCAGCAACCAGAACAAGTTCCTGAGAAAGTAACTGTGTCCAGTGACCATGAGGTAATCTTCCCCTGGTCAGAGGATGTTGCTATGGTATTGATTCTATTCAAATAAAGAGGATCCCAGGTTGTTATATGTTGTTATAGGTAGGAAGTCCATAATAACACTTAATGCCCTTCCTATCAAGGTGCATGTGCATTCATTCATTGTCTTTCTCTCTCTCTTTTTTTAATAATGTCAAGAACATCCTTTCAGCTGCCTTCCATGTTTCAAGTCCAGAGAATGGTGCTTATCATTTGCATTTACCATGTAGTCTCCTATGAATAACACTATATAAAGTATTAGAAATGTTTCTAGAGGATTTTAAGCTACCAGAAAAAAAAGATTGCTTTTTCTTAGACCTCAAGAGTTCAGCTGAATATCACCTCTGTTTTAAAGGAAATAGACAATCCAGAAGAAAAAGCAGAAGAGGAGAAAGAAGAGGTTACAGATGACCAGGAGAACCCAGCTCATAGCAGAAGGGTGGGTACTTTCTAAAGTCCTTTTGTTCCTGCTACCCACAGCATGTGAACCCCTTGTCTTCTGAGTTTGTATCATCTTTTTCTTTGACAAAGGTACTATATCATCACTTGTACTTATAATTTGGGCTTTTTTTTTTTTTAATTTTTTTTTTTTAATGTTTTATTTATTTCTAGGAGAGAGAGAGACAGTGTGAGCAGGGGAGGGTCAGAGAGAGAGGGAGTCACAGACTGAAACAGGCTCCGGGCTCTGAGCTGGCAGTCAGCACAGAGCCCGACGCAGGGCTCGAACCCACGAACCGCGAGATCATGACCTAAGCGAAAGTCGGACGCTCAACCGACTAAGCCACCCAGGCGCCCCTGGGCTATTTTTTATAAAAGAGATTTCTTTATGATTTATTTTTATCTCACAGACACACATAGTAGTTGTCTAGTGATTATTATCTGATGATGGTCTTCAGAGGTTTCTTATTAACAGTGTGGTTTCCAAAGAACTGCCTGGTTGGAACAAAATATGTATGTTGGGGCTTCTTGTTATGTAATTGGGTGAGGTTTTTTTAAATTTTGTTTTTCGGGTGTGTGTGTGTGTGTGTGTGTGTGTGTGTGTGTGTGTTTATTTATTTTTGGGGGGTGTGGAGGGAGGGACAGAGAGTAGAGAATCGGAAGCAGGCTCTGTGCTATCAGTGCAGAGCCCAATGTGAGGCTTGATCTCAGGAACCAGGAGACCTGAGCTGAAATCAAGAGTCAGTTACTTAATGGACTGAGGCACCCAGGCGCCCCTGGAATTGTGTGAGTTTTGACATAAAAATAAAACTTTTGGTCACATGGATTCAAAAGTTCTACTCTGGTTCTGGAGCCAGCCATGTTTTGTTCTGGTCCTGGGAAGTTAAAGAAAATCTACCTTGTTGTTTGAATTCTGAAAATCATGAGAAAAATTGGTTTTGATGACATTTTTTTCTTTCTTTCATTCTTTCTTTTTTTAAGTTTACTTATTTATTTTGAGAGAGTGCATGAGCAGGAGAGGAACAGAGGGGGCGCGGGGAGGGGGGTGTGTGGGGAGGATCCCAAGCAGGCTCCACGCTGTCGGCACAGAGCCCAAGGTAGGGCTCGATCCCATGAACTATGATATGACCTGAGCCAAAATCAAGACCAAGCCACCCAGGCACCCCTGACAATTTTGTTTTCTATTATAAAGTGTAGCAGTAACTGGAGATTTTGAAAAGTTTAGATTTCACTTTTCCTACAACTCTTTCCAGCATTTAAAAACAATTTTTTTAGGGGTAACTGGGTGGCTTAGTCAGTTGAGTGTCCGACTCTTGATTTCAGCTAAGGTCATGATCCCAGGGTTGTGAGATCAAGCCCCACATCAGGCCTCACGCAGAACATGGAGCCTGCTTAGGCTGCTTTCTCTTTCCCTCTGCCTCTCTACCCTGCTTGCTCACTATCTCTCTAAAATTAATTTTTTTTTAATTTTATTTTTTGTTTTACTTATACTCTCTAAGATATATGTATCATTTTACTGGCAAATGTCTTTAAATGTCTATGAATTTCCATTAATAACATTTCTAGAAAAATATCCCTGCCTTTTATTGAAGCTTCTTCTATGTTAATGCTATTTCTTTCTAGACCCGGGAAGACAGGAAGGTCGAAGCCATCATGCATGCTTTTGAAAACTTAGAGAAAAGAAAGAAGCGGCGCGATCAGCCCTTAGAACAAAGCAACTCTGACATAGAGATTACTACCACCACCTCAGAGAACCCTGTGGGAGAAGAGGCAAAACCTGAATCCACTGAACCTGAAGTTAGCAACCCTGCTCCAAACATGGCCATCCCAAGCACCCCACAGAGTGTTGGAGTGAATACCCGGAGGTCTTCTCAAGCAGGGGTAAGAGAGGGAAAGACTCTAGGCCTTAGACATTCTTGCTTTTGCTAATGACCACTACCTATCTTTTGTAATAGTTAAAATCCACATTTTCAGCTTCACCTTGTATTATAATAAAAGTCATTTTCATCAGCTGATTTATGGGAATCAGGGAAACTATTTGAATGATTAGACACTTTCAGGCTAGAATGTAACTTCATACTGTTTCTACCAGATAAAACTGTTGGTGGTGAGTTCATAAAAATCATTTCATTTCTCTTTTGGTTCTTCTGTATAGCACAGGCACCTGACCTTTCATAGGATTCACAGGATAAACGCATCTTTTCGTTCCCTACCCTGGCCATGAATACTAAGCCTTAAGCCAAACCTCAGTACGCAGGAAAGAAACAAAGGAAGGAATTACCTTTCCCGCTAAGAACCCTAAATTAGGTAGCTACCTTCAGCCGACTTTTGACCTATTTTATAAATACTTACTATGAAGAAATAGGCATCTACCTACAGCCTCTTTGGCTGACTTATGTAAGTTTTTTTAAGGATTATGTTTGACATTTAGCATTTCTACTCACTTTTTTTACCACTAAATATTTAGAATGCTTCAAGTGAATAGAAGGTTGGATAGAATGTTTGCTGATAAGTTTCTGGTAAGCATTTCACTCTGCTGTTGTCACAGGATGTTGCTCCAGAAAAGCCAGTCCCCAAGCCACCTCCAGCAAAGCCTTCTAGGCCCCGACCGAAGAGTCGCATTTCTCGGTACCGGACCAGTTCAGCCCAAAGACTAAAGCGTCAGAAGCAGGCCATTGCACAACAGGCAGAGTTGTCACAAGCTGCCTTGGAAGAGGGCGGAAATAACAGTTCTGTGACTCCTACTGAAGCTGGAAATACAGACAGTTCAGGAGAAAATAGGCAATTAATAGGGTCTGACCCAACTGTAGTATCAGTTACTGGATCCCATGTCAACCGTGCTGCACCTAAATACCCCAAAACCAAAAAGGTAAGTCACAAGTCTTCAAAAGTCTAGTCTGGCAAGAGCTGTGTCTTTAGTAAAGTGAGAGGACTTATAATGTCCAGAAAACAAATGAATCATCCAAGTATTATTAGATTGAAAGTTTTAGATAAAAAGTTTTGTTTGAGGCAGCAAGATGAAACCATCCTACCTTTTCTTTTGTTCCCTTAACTTTTAGGCAGAGCTTAAATTGCTGATAGCTGGAATTATTCTTCCCTTAATGATCATGCAAAAGGTGAAGGAAGATACCTTGCATTCTGAATGGCCAGTTCATATTTTCTGCAGCTGCTCTATCTACCTCTGTCCTATTTCTAGCTGGAGTTTGTCTTTGTGACCTGCACTGCTGCTTCTGGCTTTTACATCTCCAGCACCTACTAATGATCTCTTTTTTTACCTTAGTATCTAGTTACAGAATGGTTGAATGACAAAGCCGAGAAGCAAGAATGCCCTGTTGAATGCCCTTTACGCATCACCACGGACCCAACTGTACTGGCAACAACCCTGAACATGTTACCCGGTCTTATCCATTCCCCATTAATTTGCACCACCCCCAAACACTACATTCGCTTTGGCTCACCCTTTATCCCTGAGAGACGTCGAAGGCCCCTTCTGCCTGATGGCACCTTCAGCTCCTGTAAAAAGGTATGTCTGTGTTTATGTGGGCTTTTTTTTTTTAAACCTAGAAAGCCTATAATTGTGGCATATCTAACCTACTTTCTAGACAGCCACTCTCTGCCCATGTGAGTTTTTAATGAGTTAGTTTTTCAGCCATGAATAGTGATGCATCAAGAGTCAGTAGGACTAAAACGGGATATATACTGCATTTTTGGTGCTCAATTTCTGAAGAGTCACTGTTGTGTTTTCCAAGAGCCCTTGAAGTTACTGAGTTGAGAGCACACAGCAGTTGATGACCGGGTAGGGAGGGATGTTCTGTGTGTGCTCTTGTGGTATTGGTTAACGTGTCCATTTGTGATTACTGTGTGAGATTGGGCCCCAGATCCTCTAGAGCACTATTGCACAAGTAAAAAATGATCAAATTGTGTGTTGAATTTATTTAATTACTGTTATTATTTGAGTGAGAGTAGAGGAAGTCCTGTTATAATTGGCATAATTCCTGTTCTTTGATCAAATAACAAACAAGTTGGACTGTTTATTCCCTAGTAAATATGGAACCTACTATAAATTTTCTTTATCTCTATCTCTCTCTCTCTCTTTCTTGCCCCCATTCCCCACTGTCTCTCTAGTTACATATTATTTTTGGATCTATGGCAGTAGTGTTTGATGGTTGTTTTTGGAATGCTCTTTCAGAATTCCCAGAAGCCCTGCATATTTTCCAAAGGTGTCTCTTGAGAATAGATCGCTCCCTCAGACCTTTAATGACGTTTTTGTGTTTCTAGAAGTTTAGGACACCCTTTCATTTGGTCTTCCTTTGAGGTAGAGTCTGTTCCCTGGAACACCCTTTTCTCTTATCCTCAGATCTGGATTCAGGCTGCCTTCCTCAGTGTCTGCCATTGCCCTCCTCCACTGGCATCACGTACATGAGGATGCTGCATGTAGATTATTTGATGTGATGAAGTCTCCAACTCCAGGCAGGTCTTCCCTGACTCCTCCAAACTTAAAGCTTTTCTCTTTCCCCTAAGAGCAGAAATTATTTCTTGGGGGTGGGGGGCATGAAAGATGAGATAAAGTGGTGTGGGATATGGAGGGGAGGAGGGCAACAGGGTTCTGTGCACAAAGGAAGGGCACTACCACTGAATGGGTAGTATACACTGAAGGAAGTCTTCCTAATTGCACATCTTACCTAAGAATTTGAGTCACCTAATGGTTTATTTAAATAAACTTAACAAGTAGAATAACCCGTAAGGAAAAATTTGACCATGAGATCTTTGCTAAAAGGGAGGCTTTGTAGATAACACAATCACATGAATAACTTCCAGGTGTCAAGAATAAAAACAGTGACATCTTTCTTAAGGAAAAGGAAAGACTAGAAATTTGCCTAAGTGATAAGGACGGTTGGGTCTCTGGGGATGCATTTTTATACCAAGTCACTTCCCTTGGATCTCAGAGATCATGGGGGGAGGGGGGGAATTGCTTACATTTAATGAGCATCATGATTAACCTCATTCTATAATAATTGGAGAATTGTGTTAATTCTAGTATGGCATGCAAAACTAATCTTCCTGTTAAATTTAGTTCAGTCCCTCATGAAGAGTAACAGCTCAAAATATTAACTACATTTTTAGAATGCAATTAAGCAATTAGAGAAGGTCTAACAGTTAGATATTGTCTTTAGTTTGGAGGAGCAAGTCAGGTGATGACTTAATATCTATGAGAGAGAAGGTTTTTCCTTTTTTTCTTTCTTTGGCTGGACATAATATACTAGACTCCTGAGGATGTTAATTGTTGAAGCATCTTATCAGAGCCAGACAGTAGTATCTCCTGTTTTGGTCCTTTGAGAAGGATAGACAGATAACCACTTAACCACAGATTAATAATGAAGTCTGAATTCTAAATAGTATAGACAGGCCTCTTGAAATGTTGCCTTAATCATTCTGATGCAGTCAGTCTTGCTTTTCCAATTAGCAGTGTCCTGTAAAAACCAAAAAAACATGTAGGAATATGATTTCAAATCAGATAAAAATCCATTTCTTAGAACTCTTTTTACCTCGTTATGGTTTAGGACTTGTATCTGTGGCTCATCTTTGTTTCTCCACTGGGCAGCAGATAAAAATTCCATTCCCCTCATGTCCATGTTATATTCTCCAGATGTGTCTGACTCTCCTTAGTCTTGTTTTCTGCAAGTTCTGCTCAGGCACTTTTATCTATACACACGTATCAGTCTTCAGGAAGAGTTCAGACTGTGTATGCTTAGTTATCTGCTAAAATTATCTTTCTTAAATTGGGTCTTTAAAGTTTTTGAAGTTTAGATCTGGATTGAGTTGAAGTCATAGCCTTAATATTTACTGTTAACTTGAAGATTATATTACAAAATAAAAATGTCGCTTTTTGAAGGGCAAAATTAATGAAATTGGATCTTTTATCTAGAAATTGAACTCAGCTTTATCCTAGGTGAGGATGGAAAAGAGTTATTTTTAGATTGGCTAGAAAAGGACACTTAGGTGCCCTTAGGTCCTTAGGACACATAGGTCCTAATGTAGGACCTATGAAGATCTGTATTATTCAACAAAATTGTGATAAATTTCTGAAATTCTCAGAGAAGAGTATAAGTTAAACAAATGAGAAAAACCATCCTCCGTGGGATTAGTTAGAACAGAGTGTATTGCTGACAGGCCTACTGTTCTTACCTGATTAAAGGACATAAAAGCCTCAAATTAAAAATCGTGTAAAGTTGCATGTGTATGTTTTGCATCCAGATTCTTAGAATGTTTGACAGAACATTTTTGATGTCCTTGGAATTTTTAAACTATATTGAATCGTAGTTCTTAAAAAGCACACTATGGCATATCTTTTATTGGGTGTTCACATATTTTAAAATGGAAGCATTGATTTTATGAATAGCTAATCAGCCTTCAGTAGTGTCCTTCCTTGTTCTTTATAAATCTTCTTTAAACTTAACCTTATAAATATGAGTGGGGTGTGGGAGATTTGGTCTTCCAGATTTCTTAGAAAACCGTCCTAACTGAAAATGAAAACTTTACTTTGCATTGGTATTTTATTGTATACCCTGGAGGGTTATTAATCTGTGTCTCCATACATAGCACTGAAATACAGTTGAACAAGTCTTCACTAAATATCTGTGCCTAGTAATGTGCTGCAAGCTTTCTTCACATGTATTCTCTCACTTAGCTTTCAAGACAACCTGTGAAGTTGGGATTATTGGCCTTGATTTATAGATTCAGAAACTGGCTTAGATGGGTTGCCCAGAGTTAGGCAGCTAGTAAGAGGCATGGCCAAATTTTAGTTCAGATCTTTGTGAACTCCAAAACCCAAATTACTTCCTTGCTCTTTCCCCATAGTAATGAGACTTTTTAAAACATTTCTTTCACCTATCTCTGAGCTTCTAAAACTTTTATAGAGAGTCTTAGGGAAGGTTGAAGTCTTCTTTTTACCTATTAACTAGCTAGAACTGAGGGGCTGAGGGTATCTAAAATTAATTTGTTATTATAGAACTTTGTTAGTTACAAATATTCACATTCTTTTTTTTTTTTTTTATCAGCTCTAATATTGTATAGACATACAGTAGGACCAGGAGAAATGGGTTTGGACATGTTTGCTGTATTTGACCTTATAGCTAACCATAGCAGCATCTGATTCCTTAGAATGCCCCTGTCCTGGTTTTATTTTCCATTTTTGTAGTCATCAGATCCAGAATGTAAATTATTTTATGGGTGCATCTACTTGACACTGGAAATAAAAGAAACTGTCTTCTCTTGGAGGAAAGCACAGTGACCCCAAGTGAGTCCTGTCATCTGCTCTGAAAAGAAAAACTTGTACTAAAGGTATCTGTAACAAAGGATTTTTCACACATTTTGTCCTCTGGGCCTGATTTTCCCCATCTATACAATGAGTGCTTTGGACAAGGTAACCTCTAAGGTCTCTTCTAAGTTGTAAGGCGCTATGGTTCTGACAGACAGTTCATCTTTACATCAGTATTCTGTGTATAAGAGAGTTCATTCTTGGTCTTGTTTTGGCTTTTCAGAGACCTGGTCATATAAAATGTTGATGCGATTCATTTGACTGTTCAGATCTCTTTTTTATATGCTTATTCGCTCTTAACTGCCTGTGTTTACAGTTTTAGTTTTGCTTTCATTTGGTAGACCACAAAGCCATTTATTTACACAGCGTAAAATTTTTCTTGGTAAAATATTCTTTGCCTTATTTCCTAAGTTTCTAAGAGGGTAAATCTATTTTCCCTCTTTGGTGAAGAGAATATTTACTTACCTGTAATACTTGTTCTCTAAAGGTGTAAAATTATAATCACCTTTGCTCTTCCTATTTGGGGGAGGGTCTAATTCAGAAATTGATGTTTATCAAAATTCGATCTGTCTTATGTCAGGGCAGGAGAGCCACAGAGTGGTGAGCAACCTACAACTGTGTATCTTAAGAGAACACAATTACAGGTAAGAAATTTTCTCTCTTCCCCAGGATGAATAATCTTATTATCCTAATCTTTGCAGGCTCACTTTTCTGACCTAAATTTATATCATCATTTTAGATTCCAGTATTCACTACAAAAAATGTGACTGATTAGAGATCTCTTTTTGACTTTTTCCCCTTTTTGATTTCTGCAGAAGTTCATTTGTTCTGGTGATTTGCATTATTCTTCCTTAAGTTAACCAAAGTACTTGATAGGGGAAAAAATAAACCTCACAGGTTATTCCGTCTAAGAGTAGACCTTTTGGGAGTAACTTGTATCTGTACCAAAGAGCTGTTTATTCTCATCCAAAGTCTTCCTGTGAATCTTTTCTGTTACCTCTTCAGATGTCCCCAGCACAGGGTAGACAACTCTTAAAGAGATCTTTTATCTTCTTTCTAGGCACTTATTTTATGTGGTTTTATCCTATATGATCAGAGTCTCTCTTAAATGAAAGCTAAGTTGGATAGTAATCATTTTTTATTGGTTTGGGGTTTTTGATGGGATCTCATTATATGTAATCCAGATTTTCTCAGTTTTGCCCTGTAGAAGGATTGATGGGGCAGTGTTCTAATATGCTGATACGCAGACAAAAAATACTTGACTCTGGAATTGAATGAGTGTGTTGGACTGCGTCTCTCCCCAGTTGATGTGGAATGATCTGGCTAATGTATTTAAAATAGCTTTACTAAATAGTTTTAAATGATTATTGATAACTCCCTGGTTCTTTTTTCATTATAGCGCTGGATAAAGCAAGCCTTGGAAGAAGGGATGACTCAAACATCATCTGTACCCCAAGAGACTAGAACTCAGCACCTATACCAAAGTAACGAGAATAGTAACTCTTCTAGTATCTGCAAAGACAATGCAGGTACGTGTCTCAAACCTTCCTGGATACATAAGCAGTAGTTAACTCCGGTCCACATAAAAAATTTCATTTTGAGTACTTGAAAAGTCTTATACAAAAAAAGCATTGTTGTCTAAATAGTTACTTTACATCTGTCTTTACAGAGGAGGAGAGAGAGCTCAAGTCAGGGAACAGTTTCCCACGCCGACAGAAGGAACTAGACAGTGTACAGATAACAGCAGAGATGGTTATAAAAAGGTTAGATACATTTAAAGTAGTAAGTTTAGGAAATCTATATCCATATTTGTAAGAGGAGAAATAATAAAGATGTGGGACACTGTTCAGGAAAGAATAAAAATTACAGATGATTGAGTTGAGTGGGGCTTGGTGGAAGGAGATGAATGAAGTAAATGAGAAATTGTTACAACATTATTGTTTTCAAAAGGGCTTGTGCAATTTGTGTAAAATTTTCAAGGAGACATGGCTTTGAATCCAGTATAAGTCCTTATGAGTTTTTAAATTAGAAGGTCTTAAAAAATCATCAGGTTTATGGGTTTTCACAGGAACTCTTGCAGGGTAATTCTAATTGAATTGCAAATGAAAGCACTGGTGCCTGAACTTGGAATACTAACTTATTTTGAGACAATCTTTACCAAAGTTTCTTCCACCAGTTTCAGCCCAATTGAAAAGTTTCTTTAAGTTTATCTCTAAGTCAAAATTTTTTGATTATTATGTAATTTAAAACATACCAAAATGAATTAGATGATAAAAGTCATGTCAGACTACAACTAATGTGATGTAATATTTCAGATTTTCATAGAAACTGTTTCTATTCATTGATTTGCTGAGTAAATATGAACTTAAATAGATTTGTACTAGTAGCATCTGCTTTATGTTAAAATTCTACATAATAGTATAGTTGGGGAAAAGTAGCCTACTGAAAAGATATTTTTTGAAATTATTAACTTAGTTAATTGTTCTGTCTAGATTGGGTTATACTTTACAAGTTTTCACATGTACAACCCCAGGATAATAAAATCCCAGTGTAAAACATCTGGAAGATAAATGATACTATGTTCTTAAAGTATTTTACTCTTCTTCTACATCAGAGATTAGGAAGATTTACTCAAACCAGATTAATACAAAGAAATGCTGAGGGGCACCTGGGTGTCTCAGTTGGTTAAGCATCCGACTTTGGCTCAAGTCATGATATTGTGGTTTGTGCGTTCAGGCCCTGTGCTGGGTCTGTCCTAACCGGTTACTCAGAACCTGGAGCCTGCTTCAGATCCTGTGTCTCCCTCTCTCTCTGCCCTTCCCCTGCTCACACTATATCTCTTTCTCTCTCAAAAATAAATAAATTAAAAAAAAAATTTTTTTAATGCTGATACTAGGTTTCCATCAATACTATCAATTTATTGGCAGCTTTTACAGTACAGTGAAAGTATAAATTAAATCTTCTATCTAGTGTACGTACGTATGCATATTTGTGTGTGTCTGTTTGTGTTGGAAAAGTGACATTGTATATTAGCCTGTGTCCTGACTAGCAAAGACTCATAGGCAGTGTCTTTGTTACTCCATGCCCTGGTTGGAATGGAATTAGAACTGTTAGTCACCAACCTTCATTGAATTTTTGCCCTCACCTTTAGCAGTGAGAAACATTCAAAGGACCCACCGTGCCCTTAAGGAGCAATATAACCAAAAGGAGAATTTTTAATTAAAACTAAATAATAGTCAAATGAACGATTTGGTATATTGCTGCAAGTTCATGTAAATCCTAAGGGATTGTTTTGTTTTGTTTTGTTTTGTTTTGAAGACCATGAAGATGTTAAGAAACAGAAATAGACTGGTATAGTAGAAAGAATTCAGTTGAATTTGAGAACCAGCTCTACCCTTTACCTCATGTTGGGCAAGTTACTAAGTATCTCTGAGCCTCCTCTATAAGATGGGAATAGTAATACCTGCTTTCCAAAGGTTATGTGAGATTAATAAATTAAATATTCTGTGCAGTGTTTGGTGTGGTATCATACCGATAATAGGAATTATTACTAACATTCTACACAAAATGCTGTTTCTTGTTGAGTATTTATTTATGGAGTATTTACAGAAGTTAGTCAGATATGAAGATACATCAAAGAATCTAAAGTTGTATAGAAATAAAAAATAAAACTACTCTTCAGGAAGGAGAGGGCATAAATGTTCATTGTTTGTAAATGATGTGAATATGTACCTTAGGAAACTCTAACCAGTGGAAAAACCTAGAATTGAATTCAGTAAAATCACTGGATAGAAGGTACCTACGCAAAAATTAATAGCATTTATGTACTGAGAAAATGAATGAAGAAACTTTTTCATTCTCAAACTTAACAAAACTAAGAACCTGCCTAGGAATAACCATATTGGAACATGTAGAGTAAACCATTACTGAGAAGTATATTTAATGTCTTGAGAAAGTGAAGATAAAGCCTATATTCCTTCATGGAAAGAATAAATAAAATTAATATTTCCTCTCTCCCATCCTCCAGCCTTCATATAGTTCCTGTAAAACTAGCTTGGTTTTAGAATTTGATGAAATGAAGTTTATCTAAAAGAAGAAAAAATTTGAAGAAGAGTAATGACAATGAAGTGTCTTCCCTAGAAGTACAAAACTAGTTTCTAATGTGAAGCTGGAAGCTAGTAATTAAATTAGTACAATGCTGGTGCCTGAACGATGGGTGTATGTGTCTGTATGTGTATGGAATAGCAAGTCTTAAGTAAATGAAATATTTGGTAAATTATTCAGGAATTTTTACTTACCTGGATTATTGAGAAGAATGAGATCTTTGCCAAACCAAATTCTAGGCACATTCAAGTATTTTTTGTAAAGATCAAACTTGTATAAAGTTTCTGGATCTGTATTATCACTGAGTTAATAGAGGACAAATTTATTGAGAGAAAGGATTTGCAATAAAAATGATAGGAGAAGGGCACCAGGGTGGCTCAGTCACCTGAGCATCTGACTTCGACTCAGGTCATGATCTTGTGGTTCATGAGTTTAGGCCCCACGTCGGCTGTGGTCCTCTTAGCGCAGAGCCCACTTCTGATCATGACATGGCAGAGAGTAGTATCCCTACTGGCAGTTTGGTAAAGTTTAGCATATGCACAAAAATACTTCCTGTGGGGCACCTGGCTGGGTCACTCGGTGGAGCATGCAACTCTTGATCTTGGGGTCACGAGTTCCAGCCCCATATTGGGGGCAGAGATGACTTAAGTAAACATAAAAAAAAAAAAAAAATAGGAGGGAGCCTCAGTGGCTCAGTCGGTTAAGCGACTCTTGATTTCAGCTCAGGTCATGATCTCACGGTTTCATAAGTTTGAGCCCCAGATCAGGCTCTGTGCTCACAGTACAAAACTGCTTGGGATTCTGTGTCTCCCTCTCTCTCTGCCCCTTCCCCATTCAACTCTCTTCTCTCAAAATAAACTTAAAAACAAAAAAAAACAAAAAACTAATACTCCTTGACCTACTAGTTGTTCTTCTAGGTATCTGTTCTACAGAAATAAACATAGACCCAAATTTTTATAAAAAGTACTAGTCATAGAACTATTAATAACTGCAAAAATATAGAGGATAAAAACAAGTTGGATTTTGAGCAATAAAGGAGTGGTAGAATTTGTTTATTTGCTATGTGCACATACTTTTGGTAGAAACGCTATACGGTATTATTAAATTTTTCACCCTTGAATCATTTTATCAAACTAAAAAAAAACAGCATCTTAATATTTTTGTGAATTAGATTTCAATGATCTGAATTTTCAATCTGTAAGAATATCAAAAGGGGAGACTGAGTGGCTAAGTCAGTGAGCATTCAACTCTTGATTTCAGCTCAGGTCATATTCTCAGGGTTTTGGGAACAAGCCCTGCATCGGACTCCATGCTAAGTGTGTAGCTTGCTTGTGATTCTTTGTCTCTGCCCCTTTACTCCCCCCCCTCCAAAAAAAAAGAAGAAGGGGTGCCTGGCTGACTCAGTTAAGCTTCTGACTTTGGCTCAGGTCATGAGCGCCATGTCAGGCTGTCTAATGACACGTTGGAGGCTGGAGCCTGCTTCTGATTCTGTCTCCCTCTCTCTCTCTGCCCCTCCCCCACTTGCATTCTCTCTTTCTCTCAAGAATAAGTAAACTTTTTTAAAAAATAAAAGTATATTAAGACCAACTGAAATTTCTACTAGGGATATAAAGATGGTTCAGTATTTGGAAAATTATTCATATAATTAATTTATTAGCAGGCCAAATGGAAGAGGGGGAGTAATAGCACAGTAAATATAAATTTAATGATAAATCAAATAAAATACCTATGAATTTTTTACATATATCTGAAAAATTGTTGCCAGTTATGCATCATGTAAGAACTATTTACATTAAACCTTAAAATACATTATCAAGTACACCAAAACCAATACAACACTATGTACTAAATTATACTTCAGTTAAAAAATAATACATTTTTTTTTTTAATTTTTTTTAATGTTTTATTTATTTCTAGGAGAGAGAGAGAGAGAGAGAGACAGCGTGAGCAGGGGAGGGTCAGAGAGAGAGGGAGTCACAGACTCTGAAACAGGCTCCAGGCTCTGAGCTGGCAGTCAGCACAGAGCCCGACGCGGGGCTCGAACCCACGAACCGCGAGATCATGACCCAAGCGAAAGTCGGACGCTCAACCGACTAAGCCACCCAGGCGCCCCAGAAAATAATACATTTTTAAGTGGGTTATCCAGTTATTCCACTTATCATTATTATTTAATAGTGTCTAGAATTATTAGCCAACATAATTACCAAAAACAAAAAAATCTATGAGGTAAAAAAGTGTGGGTAAAGAGGATGTGTGTGTTACCATTGTGTGCAAATAATATGCTTTATCTCCCTAGAAAAGCCAAGTGAGGTAACTGAAACACAGGCAGAGATCAGTAAGGTAGCTGGGTACAAAAGTATGTAAACATTTCTTATAGATTAAGAATAACATGTAGATGATAACATAAAAAGAGACGTGTAATGCACCCTTGTAGCAAAAAAATAGAGACACTGGAGAGTAACACTAATTAGAAATGTGACAGATCTATATGCAGAGGGATAAATGAAGGCAGGAGTAGCTAAAAGATGGTGTCATGGCACTGAGTGAGAATTCTTCTGTAGTTACTCATGAATTTAATAAAATAATACCAATCAGAATTCTGGCTTTTTGCTAGGGCAAGATTGGGGGAGGAGTAGTGTTACCATGGTGAATGATTTCAACAGTTCACTGACAGGAACAGGTATGCTAGAATAGCCAAAGTATTTTGGAGAGCTAGAGTAGAATAACTTAAATTGCCCAAGGAGTTTTACTGGAAGAGATGTCAGCATTGATGCCATTTAGACAGCAGGTATACAGAACTAAACTAAACTGAGGGGCACCTGTGTGGCTCAGTCAGTTAAGCATCTGACTTTGGCTCAGGTCATAATCTCACTGTTGTGGGGAGTTCAACCCCACATTGGGCTCTCTGCTATCAGCACAGAACCTGCTTCAACTCCTGTCTCCTTCTCTCTCTGCCCTTTCCCCACTCACCTGCACGCTCGCTCGCTTGCGCTCTCTCTCTCTCTCTCCCAAAAAAAAAAAAAATACTTTAAAGAAATATTTAAAAGAAAAGAACTTGGGCGCCTGGGTAGCTCAGTCAGTTAAGCATCTGACTTCAGCTCAGGTCATGATCTCAGGATGTTCATTCGAGCCCTGCATCCATGGCTGTGCTGACAGCTCAGAGCCTGGGCCTGCTTTGTATTCTGTGTCTCCCTCTCTCTCTCTGCCCCACCCAGCTCGCTCACTCACTCGCTCTCTCGCTCTCAAAAATAAATAAACTTTAAAATTTTTTTTAAAAAAGAACTAAACCCTGTTTATATAAAAATCTAATAAGATAAATGTCATTTCAAATCAGTGGAGAAATTAGAATTTTATAACTATTAAAGATTTTGGAAGAATGCTGTTTGACGTGTGAGAAGGAAAGATAATCACTTCCTTCTACTGAAGTATGTTTTATTTGAATTAAATTTAAAAATTAAGTATGGAGATGAAGGGAAAATAGGCCAGTATTTTTAGTCTTGAGGTAGTGGGTAGCAAGGATGTTCCTGATGTCAGAGGCAGAAAGTAAAGGAAATGATGTATACATTTGACTAAATAAAAACGTAGCACATTGTAGAGCCAAAAAAGACTGTTAATAAATTAAAAGGCAGATAGCAAACTGGAAAAATACGACATTTTTTTTTTTACAAAGGATCAACATTCTTAATTAAAAAGTCCTTAGAAATGAAGAACAAGGGGCATCTTCGGTGGCTTAGTCAGTTGAGCACTTGTTTTTGGCCCAAGTCATGCTCTCACAGTTTGTGAGTAAGCCCCGCATCAAGCTCACTGCTGTCAACTCTGAGCCCACTTGGGATCCTCTTCCCCCCTACCCCACTCATTCTCTCTCTCTCTCTCTCCTAAATAAGAAAATAATAAATTTTAAAAGTAAATAATTGAAGAACAAGGTCAACAACCCATAGAAAGCAGGATATAGGACATGAGTAGACAGTTCACACTAGTATAAATATAAAGCTCTTGAGCCTGTGGAAGGATGCTTTTGATTTAACAATCCTGCATCTAGCCATTCGCCCTAAAAAATTACAGGTGCAGAAATATCTAAGAGAAAGATTATTGGTCACTGAGGCATATTTATAATAAAAAAGTGCAAGTACTTAACGGTTAATTTTGATGATATGAATGCCATATAGCCATTAAAAACTGAATTGTAGGTTTCTGTTGTCATGGAAAGATTTTTATCGTATGTTTCTGAGTGAGCACTGCTATGTAGACAGGAATTAATAAGGCCATACCAAGAAAAAGGTCTAGATGAACATGCACCAGGGTATTAGTGCATTCTTTTATAAGTGTGATTTCAATTTGTGTGTGTGTTTAAATGTGTCGGTGTTTGTTTATATAATTTTGTGAATTATTTAAGATAAAAACTGTACATGATGGATAGGTTTAACCATGTAAAATTTGAAAGCTGTGTATGTATGGCAAAAAGAAAAATGAAACTTGACAAACATTATAAATATAGTGTTACTGGAAGGAAAAAACCAACCACTGGCAGATATCAGGTCTATTTTGTTGAATATGATACCATAATAACTCAATTTTATGTGAAGGGCCTGTAAGTTGATTTGGAAGGGAAGGGGTTCAGCTGTACTTTCTAGAGTGAGCTTCATTGCTTATATAATTCCCTTTAGTAGTAAATATTGGACCTAGCAGTATATGAGTCTTTCTATAGCAGTCTTTTAAAAGATTCACTGTTTGACTCTTGAAGTACATTAAAAAGTGTTCTGAACATGTCATGAATCACATGTTTGTTTGTTTTATACCTAGGCACTTTTCAAAGGAGAAAAATAAGAAAGAAAACTTACAGTTTCTGGAACACAAGAAAAATACGAATATACTTCCAATCTAGGAAAATAAAACATTTTCACATATCAGAAAGGAAAAAAAGCATCTCCAGTATTTTTTGCATTTATTTTTCCTTCTCCATTTCCACATCTGTTACCCTAGTTCAGTACCTCATAACTCTGTCAACCTCTCCATTAACTCCAAACAAACAGTTTCCCAGTGTCCAGTCTCATCCTCACCATTGCTGCCCGAGTAATTTTCCTGAAGCATAGCTCTGATCGTGACCTACTGTCCCAAAACTTGTCCTTGAAGGTCTGGGATAAATGCTACTCCTTCCACTAAGTCACGGGGATATAATACAACCTAATCATTAAGAATGTAAATGGAACTAAATTTCCTAGTCTTTATCTCTCTGCACATCAAATTCCTCATCTTTAAAATGGGAGTGGTGATAAAAGTGCTAGATTTAGGGTTATTCAAGTTAAACGTTAGAATTCACATAAAGCACATAGTATATATAGTACCTGGTGTATAATCGCTTCAAAGCATAATTATTTTCTACAAACACCTAGCAGTATGATCATCTCTGTCAAGATTCTTAAACTGATATTAAACATGTTTTAAGTATGTTTTCTCATCCTCACAAATTTGTAAATCCTTTTAAATAGAATATATGATGAGTTACCCTCACATACTTAATTCAGTGGTTTCCACATAGTAGGTTTTAAGTAAATAAATATTTTTTTATTGTAAATAAAAACAAAGATATTTTTCCTCTGAGAAAGTTGGATAGGTGCTTTCACCCTCGTGGTCATTAAAATATATAGTGTAGAAGATCCAAGAAATACAGGAAGTGTAGGGTATTCTAGTCAAAAAAAGTACCAGCCTCGTTTTCGAAAATGATTGGGAGAAGTTTTTGTAAAAATCATTTCCTACTTTGAAGCACTCTTAAGACTACAGGCTAGATATATATATATAGGTCAGGCCTAATCATGTGTAACTCTTTTCCTGCTAAAGCAGAACATTATAGAAAGATCTGCTGAAAATGGCAAAAATACATAAGAGAAGATAAAAGGAGCATGGAGTTAACATTCTAGAAGCTTGAGCTGGTGTCATGGCATTTAAGTAGAGGGTGATTTTAACAGTGACATCAATTTGAGATTTTTGGGGAAACAATGTAAGAAAATTAAAGTTTAAACTTTCCACTGGAAGAGATTAAATTTGCTCTAGGGATCAGTCATTAGATTCATCTCGTGGGGAGAGAATTTTGAGAATTACTTTAACTGTGGCAATTAAAAAGTTCTTTGGGCTTTTGGTTTGATTGCAGGAGATAACGGTGGGATGAGGCAGAAGAGTTAAGAGCCATTGTGGGCTAGAGATTAATGGCTTTACTACAGAGCCTCCCTTTAAGCTATGGTTACAATCTCTCATCCAAGTTTTGTATTTCACAGACTTGTTGAGCCCACTAAAGAAATGGAAGTCTCGCTATCTGATGGAGCAGAATGTCACCAAGTTACTGCGGCCTCTTTCTCCAGTCACACCACCCCCTCCCAATCCAGGCTCAAAGAGCCCCCAGCTGACCACACCTGGCCCATCTCACCCAGAAGAGGAGTGTCGAAATGGATACAGCCTCATGTTCTCACCAATCACGTCTCTTACTACTGCTAGTCGCTGCAATACTCCTCTGCAGTTTGAGGTGATTTGGGTTTGGTTGTTGGGAGTGCTGAATTTGAAAATTATCATTTGCCCCTCCTCATTTCAAGTATAATATTCCAAATGTATCTTGACAAATGTTCCTGCCAGTCTTGGCAAGAAAACAGAAAACCTCAGGGTCAGTGTGACCTGTTACCTGGTAGCCTCTCATCTTGGCAGTCCTCATACTTCTCTCAAAAGGAATAGTTGTACTGTGGATGACATTCATCTGTTTTTGCATGTAATCCATCAGTCTCTGTAATGCAGGTAGTAAGCATGCTACATCTCCATCTTTGTCTTTGCTCTCTTCTTTGGTTAAAATAGGTGTCTAGCTGCCTAATAACCACCAATGATATCAGCCTGAGAGCCCAGATTATACTGATTGATTGTCTTTCTTTTTAGGCCTTTAAATCAATGAGTTGTCTTTCCCTGTTTTGTATTCTTGTTGTGACCTCAGTGAACAGAGATGTGAAAAGCTTTGAGATATGGTTTGTGGCAAATGAGTTTTTTCCCTACTCCAGGTTACTTTCCCTTCTTGTTACACTGTGTTAGGAATGAAAAGTAGAAAGAGGCTAACAACATACATTTATCTGTAAGAGACCGATTTATTACATTCACCCTCCAGATTAAGTTAGAAATGTATTATCTTAGCTGTTTGAAAAAGTTAATTGTGAATCAGTTCATGTGCAAGTGTGGGTGACAGCAGGTTTACTGAACAGAAAGTATCCTTGTGTATTAAAAAACTTCATCTATTGAATTTTGCTTTCATTTGAAATTAACAGACACTGTCTCTTCCTTCTTAGAGAAAACTGTTCTGAACACTAAACACTCAGCTCTGCCCCTAGCTTGTAACTTCTCCACATGTGTTCTTTGGTGAAGGTGAATGCTCTAACCAATCCCTTCCTCCCTTTTCAGCCTTTATGAGAGCATGGAGATTAAAAATACTTGGACTTTTGAATAGCTAACTCAGAAAGAGGTAGCCAGCAACCTTGAAAGCAGGAAAGCAGGAGGAAACTATGTTCCATACCTGAACTAGACTGTATTACTTTGGGAGCAGACCTCTTTGGTAGGGGTGGGAGAGTGGGGAGGGAGGGTGAACCTTCCTGGTTACATTTGATTTCTAGAGAAGGTACTCTACCAAATTTCCTGTGGCATTCTTTTCTGCCGTACATTAAAGCAGGGGATTCAGGCCTTACTAACTTTACTTGGTCTAACTGCGATTGACTTTTCAATTAGCAAATTGAATTTGATAGTAAAATTTCATAGGATGTTCACCTTGGAGGGCAGCAAATTATAGGATAGAATTTCATACTTTATCAGTGCAGGTTTTATTATAATTAAAAGGTGAAAATTACAGAAATTAGAAGTACATTGCCTTCCAGGACAGTTAAATTTAACACTCAGAACATTTCCTAATCCCTTGTAGTATTTTGGATAACTGAAACAATATGGAAGTGTAAGGTGTTTTTATTTTATTTTTTTAAAAAATCGAAAATCAAAGATTGTTTTTACTCAGGGCGCCTGGGTGGCTCAGTCAGTTCAGCATCGGACTCTTGATTTCAGCCCAGGTCATGATCTCACAGTTGGTGAGATGAAGCCCCACATCAGGCTCTGTGCTGGCAGCACGGAATCTGCTTGGGATTCTCTCTCCCCCCTCTCTCCACCCCTCCCCCACTTGCACTCTCGCATGCTCTCTCTATATCAAAATAAAATAAATTTATTTTTAAAAAGTCCAGTGCCTCTTTTCACTGTTTTTAATCTTGTGATTTAACTAAGGAAATTTAGCCTTTCTTGTCAGGAAAACAAACTTAACCATCCTGACCATTCTTATTACCATTCTGTCATGCTCTTCCCTGTATTCTAGTATAGGAAGTCTTATTTCCATCCAAGACTGTGGCACAGAAATACCAAAAAGGTGTCACAGATAAAGAGCAGCTTGGTTGGGGAAGAATATTTTTGAAAGGAAAAATAAAAATAATTCCAGTGAGAAATGTCTCCAGTACTAAGGAAAGGAGTTTAGGAAACATGTATAAGAGGAGTACAAGATCATGAGGGAGGGAGAACCTTTAAGGAAAAGGAGTAAAAGCAACTTTGGCAGGATAAACTTAATTAGCCGCCCACCATTCCACCAGCCCCTCCCTTTTCTTCCTGGCATGGTATCCACCTCACACACACTGCCCAGCCCACCAAATAAAATTAACAGCTTCATTTTGCCTCCCATGGTATAGGTCTGTCCCCCAGGTCATAGTTGTTCAATCTGCAGCATTAGGAGCCTTTCCCTTCCCTTACCCCTGGCACTCTGAATCATTGCCACAACTACCACCATCATTCTCTTCACATTTTACCATTCACATCTCCCATCGGAGTTCACTGTCCAGTTTCTGTTTGATATGGGAGTGCTGCCTCAGGTGAAAGCTCTCAGGGGAACCCTGTTTAGGATGTAGGAACTTGAAATCTACAAGTTCTGTTTTTTTATTCCCCATCTGTTGCCAAAAGTACAAGGGATTTTTATATCATTGGTGGGGGTGTTCAGATCAAATTAGATTATGCCAAGAACCATCTATCCTATGAGCTAAATTGCATTCTATCTCCTGTAACTCATTCAAGAAGAGCTAGCCATCTCCCTAACCCTCTCAGCCCAGTATGCTAAGCAGTTTCCCTGGACAGTGGTGGACAAGCATGAACCACACAGAAGTATGAAGAAATGTGACTTTCATAAAGGGGTGTGGGATAAAGGAAAAAGTTCCCTGAGGCATAATAAGTGGTAGGGTGCCCATCAGTAATAAATACTATAGGTTGTACAACCCTAATCAAACGTAGAACAGAATTTCAAATGAAATTGTAGTGTACAGTTTCACCAGTCTAAATTTCTTCTGTTACCTACTTAAGATGTTTACTTCTAGCATGAAACATTATAACCAACTTAAATGCTTTCAAAGATTCCAGGGAGCATTTTCAACCAGTCATTCTGTTTATTGCAATGAATTCTACAGTTAAACATTTCCCCTGTGCATTCTTTTCCCTCCCTCTGCCCCCGGCAAAAAGTTGTGGCTAACTATCTATGCTTGCTTTTACTTTATTTTTTTCTTTGTTTTGTTTTGCTTCTTAACTTCGAGTAGATGAATAACAAGATGCTTTTCCCTCCTCTAGAACATATCCTCCCCTGAGAGTTCCCCTGCGAATAGGCCCGAGTCCCTGTCACCCGAGGTAGTTATCACACCATCTCAATCACACTTGGAGGCTGAGAGTGAGTGTGCATGAGTGTGTGGGAGGGCTGGGGGGGATCCGAGTGAATGGGGTGATAGGCTAAAGGGCGACCAGCCAGTCGCTATAAGTTGAGAATGAATCTTCCATGTGTGACTGATCACTCAGAATTTTCAATGTAGATGGAGGAAAATGAAGGGGTGTGTGTGTGTGTGTGGTGGGGTTTGCTCTTGTTTGGGGGAGGGGTGACTGGAGAGTTCTTTTAAAGAATAGAATCTAGAAGTCAAGTTTAAAGCAAGCTGAAGGTATGGTACGAGCCTTGGTAAAGAAAGTAACAAGTAAGGTGTGTTTGTTAAATAAGGAAAGTTGAAATCAAAAGTTGGTAGGAGCTATCTTTTGATATTAATTATCTTGGGCTCATAAAGGAGCAATTTATACTGGAAAAGTTAGACAGTGATTTATGTCTTATTCCAGGATTAATCTTAACAGCTCTGTTTAACTGGATGTTTTGGGCTTGGGTTGATAGAGTGAGCAGCTTCTTTTGAAAGAGAGTCCTGCCTCCCTGCTTTCTATATTTTCTTTATAGCTCCTTATTGGATATACTAGGAAACTAAGTCAGCCCATGGCTTCTGTGACACAGGCCTGCCTTCTTTAATAGTTGAAATGTGGTTGCCATACAAGCGGTATCTCAGGATATCCAGTTGAGTGCCTTTCTCAAACCCTACTGCCATGGAGATGTTAAATTCAGGTTTTAGTGCTGGAGTTTTGGGGAGTTTTTTGTTTTTTTGTTTTTTTAACTAAGATTTGGACAACTGTACGAATTATTAGCTCTGTGAATCTACACGGAGCCATTTTCCTCTTGAAGAGATAACTGTAGTCTCTCATAACCTTTCAGAATCTAACTTTTACCTCTGCCCCTTTCCAGTTAAATTTTTTTTTTTTTAATTTAGTGGTAGTTAATAAAATTCTGAATCAGGATATTAAAGATCAATGTGAAACTGAAAATGGTTGTATTCTAGTGTCCTAGAGGTTTTCTGGATGTTTTTTACACTGTCTTGTGAGGAAATCCTGGTGTGACATTTGAATGTCTGGTACCATTCTTTCTCTAGAGAGTTAGTAATAAGTTGACCTAGTGGTTTCCAGTGTTGGGAGGTAATGATAACCAAATAGTACATACGGTTTATTTTTGATAAAATTCAGTATTTTGGATGACCTGCAGTGGTGGGCATTAGTGATCTTGTGGTATGTGGACATACATTAGAGGATAAAGAATTGAGTGGCCAGAAAGTTTTATGAGAAACACACATACTTAATAGTGAAAGTGAGCAAAGAACTGGTTGGTTGATGTCTTTAACTAAGTCCATTCTCCTTTATTGAACCAGTAACTTAAATCCTTGACTTCCTGTCTACTTACTACTTTCTTTCCCTTTTTCCCTCCTCCCACCTTCCATCGTATTAAATACAAATGAATAACACCAAAAGCCAGTTATCTTAAGACCCCAGTCTCACCTCTATAGCATACATGGGGCTCAGGTAAAAATCCCTCGTGATACTCTTAGTACCTTAATGTAGTACAGGGTTACTCAACAGACTTGATGAAAGGCTAAACAGGCAAAATAGTCACATTTGGCCAATTATTTAATTCTGATTTTCCCAGGATTCTCCTCCAGAAAGACTTTAAAGCAATTTGTGAAAGGCCGGCATTCTGTAGTAATCGGGCCTGGGTGTACTGTTGCTTCATGGAACTTTTACACATGTTAATGGCTTTCTCCCTTGTACTTCCATCCCTCTTACCTTTTACCTGTGCCCCTCTCGCTTCCCTTCTTTTCTGTCCTTTGACTTTTTCCTTCCCCCTCCTTCTCCATGTCTCTGTTGATTTTTATTCTTTCAGCTTTGTCACCGAAAAGACCTGGACTTGACAAAAGTAGGCTACCTTGACTCCAACACTAACAGCTGTGCTGACAGACCTTCCCTGATCAACTCAGGTCCTTCTGACCTGGCTCCTCATCCCTCTATCGGACCCCCCTCTGAGACTGGCTTTCCAAGCAGAAGTGGAGATGGACATCAGACCCTTGTGAGGAACTCGGACCAGGCATTTCGGACAGAGTTTAATTTAATGTACGCCTATTCCCCATTGAACGCTATGCCTCGAGCAGATGGATTATATCGAGGATCTCCCCTAGTAGGGGATAGGAAGCCTTTACATTTGGACGGGGGATATTGCTCCCCTGCAGAAGGGTTTCCCAGCAGATATGAACATGGTTTTATGAAAGACGTCTCTCGTGGATCCATGTCACCTGGTGGTGAAAGGGCTTGTGAAGGAGTCCCATCTGCCCCCCAGAACCCACCGCAGAGGAAAAAGGTAAGTGGTCCACCTTATATATTATATAGGCCCTTTTGAAGAATATTAATTGAGTGATTCAGTAGATGTTAACTGAATTGACACTGTGTGTTCAACACTGTTCTCAGTGTGAGGAAAACAAGAGACATAAGATGTGATCTCTGCCGTGTTCAGTGAAAGACAGGATCATTGTGTGTGCGTGTGTGTTTTTAAGACAAGACTATTGTAAAATTTGATGATTGTTGCAAATATTCAGCAAATTTAAATGCCTGCCATGTATGTGCCGCTACACGTGCTATGCAGTCTAAGGATAAAGCAGTGAGGGGTGCCTAGGTGGTTCAGTCAGGAAGGTGTCCAACTTTGGCTCAGGTGGTGATCTCACGGTACATGGGTTCGAGCCCCTCATTGAGCTCTGTGCTGACAGTTTAGAGCCTGGAGCCAGCTTCAGATTCTGTTTCTCCCTCTCTGCCCCTCCCCTGCTTGTTCTCTCTCTTGCTCTCTCTCTCAAAAATAAACAAACATTAAGTTTTTTTTTTAAAAGAGCAGTGAAAAAAATAATGCTAATTACTTGTATTATTTAGCACTTCCCGTGTTCCCCATGTTCTAGGCACTGTTAAGCTCTTCTTATGCGTTAAATCCTCAAAATAATCCTATAAATTGGGTAATCTCCCATTTTGTAGATGAGGAAACTAAGATAAATTGAATGACTTGCCCATGGTCACATAGCTAGTGAATGGAAGAGCCAGGACACTGCCCAGGTCTGGCTATTCCAGATTGCTTGCTCTTATTGCCACTATGCTATGTTGCTTCCTAAGTTCTGGCCTAATGGAGCTTAAAGCACATAAGATGGAGGTTGGCAGATAATTAATATTAATAAGTAGTTCGTTACAGTGGCAGTGGATGCTCCAGAAGAGTTGTTCAGATGTGGTGAGGACATCGCTGCGACATGACCTAGTCAGAACAAACCAGAGACTCCTAGGCATTTTGAGAGGTGGAGTGAGAGGTGACAGGTCACAGGCTAATTTAGCTGATGTCAGTAAGTAGGAAGCAATCTACCAACAAATACAAGTGAAGATGTTACAGAAGAGAGCAGAACACGTAGCTGTGGGACACTCCATTGAGTGGGCAGCAGACGCACAATGTGGTTGCAATAATTACACTGCTGCTGTAGTATCTGGTAAAAGGTGGGGAGGGTCAGGAGTGGAGCATGAGAGAGATGGTGGAACGGGGCCAGGCCATAGATTGCTGGCTAACAGGTTGAGACTTGACTCGTAAGTAATGTCTGTTCAAGAGATTACAAAGCCCCAAATGTGCTTTTTATGTCAGTAGATTTCAACCAGGGCCTTTGGGAACGCATGGGAGTATCTTCGGTTGTCAAGGCAACTTCCATTTATTGTGTAGGGCTAGAGATGTTAAATGTTCTGTGTGTGACAGTCTCACACAGTTGCAGAATATCTTTAGTAGTCTTGTTCAAATGTAGCCCAATAGCTTTTTATATTTGCGTTTCCATGAAATACATTACCAGAATTTATTATTATTAATTCTTTTCCAAGATTGTAGAAAATGCATATACGAGATGGTACTACTTTGCATTTTTGTTATATTTTACATTTAAGCAGAAAAATGAAAGCCATGAGGGACTAGAAAGCAGAAACACTGGCAGGTAAAACACTGGCAGATAACTGGAAAAAGAGAGCAGTGAGTTTTGGAGACTCTTGCTTGAATAGTATTGACCATCGGGAGCAAAAAGTTAAAATATCTTTGGGTTTCTGGTTTCTTTTGTTATGTACAACAGTGATTGAAATCATGATTTGTTATTTGAGAAGTGTTGAGCACCTACTATCAGTCAGGTTCTGCGCCAGATGTTAAAGATGAAAAGCCAGACAAGGATGTGGAGAAACGGGCACCCCCTTACATTATTGGTGGGAATGTAAACTTGTGCAGCCACTTTGGCAAACAGTGTGGAGGTTCCTCAAAAAATTAACACTAGGACTCCCCTATGACCCAGCAACAGCACTGCTAGGAATTTACCCAAGGGATACAGGAGTGCTGATGCATAGGGGCACGTGTACCCCAATGTTCATAGCAGCACTCTCAACAACAGCCAAATCATGGAAAGAACCTAAGTGTCCGTCAACTGACGAATGGATCAAGAAGATGTGGTTCATCTATACAATGAAATACCACATGGCAATGAGAAAGAATGAAATCTGGCTATGTGTAGCAATGTGGATGGAACTCGAGGATGTTATGCTAAGTGAAATAAGTCAGGCAGAGAAAAACAAATGGCATATGTTTTCACTCGTGTGGAACAGAAGAAACTTAACAGAGGACCATGGGGGAGGGGCAGGGAAAAAATAGTTAAGGAGAGGGAGGGAGGCAAACCATAAGAGTCTCTTAAATACTGAGAACAAACTGAGGGTTGATGAAAGTTGGGGGAGAGAGGGAAATGGGTGATGGGCATAGAGGAGGTCACCTGCTGGGATGAGCACTGGGTGTTTGACAATAAACTATAATTAAAAATAAAAAAGATGAAAAAACAGAAAAGCTTGGTCTTTGCCCTCTTAGAACTTACAGTTTTAGTGGAGGAACCGTCAAGACACTGTAATAGGCTGGCACCTGGTGTAGGCAGTGTGCTCTAACAGCAAAAAGGAGAGGTATAATGGGTGGGGCAGGGAGGAAGGCTCTGGCAATCAAAACAATGAGGCAGAGTTGGGGAGAAGTTTTCAAGTCTGTGTTTCCTAGACTAGCTTGCTAAAATATAACCTGCAAATCATACTTTCTCTTTTAACACTAATTTCCCTACGTGTAAGAGAGAAACAGTAATAAATCCCTGTGTGTATCCTAAAACTTTGAATACATCTAAAAACCCTGAAACGTTGGCTTTGTTGTTCTTCTTCTTCTTTTTCTTTTCTCTCTCTTGTTTTTTAAACAACTGACTCTTGGGATCCTAGGGATTAGGGGAGAGCTATCAGATGACCTGGAAGGCTTTTTCAAACTTCACAAGCTCCCAACCCCCCTCTCCCTTTTTCTAAGTGTTACCATTGTTGTAAACAGCTGATAGCATACTTCTGCTACGGGGTAACTGTGATCTCACAATTCTCTGAAGGCAGAAAAAAGATCGAGGTCTGCTGGTGAACACTGTTCTTCAAAAATGTCATTTCCTAGTGTATTCTCTTCTCCTTGCCAGTTTCTGACTGATTTAAATATGTGTGTAGTTGTGCTCAGATATCTCACACCTGAAGAAAGGGTTGCAAGTGTTAGTGCCTGATTTGTTTGCATGGCTAGTGGTTTACAAAGATTCCACCTTCTTTCCCCATTGCTAGTGATCCACTAACGATGTCTAGCTAGAGTCCTGTTTCTTGTTTCCCTCCCAGGTATCCCTGTTGGAGTACCGCAAACGGAAACAAGAAGCCAAGGAGAATTCTGCTGGCGGGGGAGGTGACTCTGCACAGAGCAAAAATAAGTCCGCAGGAGCTGGGCAAGGCAGCAGTAACTCACTTTCTGACACTGGTGCCTATGGTGCGCAGGGATCCTCCTCCCGAACCCCCTCTTCCCCTCACAAAAAGTTCTCCCCATCTCATTCCTCTATGTCCCACATGGAGGCAGTAAGCCCATCAGATTCCAGAGGCACTTCATCTCACTGCAGACCTCAAGAGAATATCAGCAGTAGGTGGTAAGTTTATGTTTGATGATGAAATAATTAAATTCAAGAGGGATGTACACATCCAGAATTATTCCCACTTTTACCTAAAATATATGGGAACACTTAACTGAGAAAGGCAGCCAATAGTGCCATCTGTGTTCTTTCAGCTGATTTAATAGTATCAGCCACAGCCCTATCCCCACCCCCAACCCCATCCCCCTCAGCTTTACAGAAGAATTGCCACCGAACTTGCAGAACAACCCTTTTGGATGGCATATAGTTGTGGACACAGATGAGTTATTTTATTTGCTGGGCACTAACATTGCCTCTTCTATTTTTTCATTTCATACGAAAGGTAAGTCAGGAGTTCAGCTCAATTCCATTTAAATTAACAACACAAGTCTCAGTTGGCCCTAGCTCGCATATACAGAACAATCAGACCTATTCTGAAAGGATTTATCTGGTTTAGGGGAGGCCACAAATAGATAAATAACACTGTAAGTAAGTGAATAATAAACAGCACATGCTGAGTATAGAGAATGAGGCTGTTCTCAGGGATCTTGAACTGAAGCATGGAAGTCTGGGAAAGAAAAGACCTGACTCAAATGAGTAATGTTTATTAAACACTGTGGAGCGTATGTTAAACTACTACTATGTGCCAGTCATATGACTTCACAGAAGAAAAAATTTAGCAGTTCAAAATGGCAGTGTAAAAGAAGCAGACATCTTTAAATCTACTTTTTCCATAGTATAGGACAGAAAAAAATACCTTGTTTTAAATTGGTCCTGAAGAAAATAATACGTAAGAGGATGTTGTAAGACAATGCATCGTACAGCCTTTATGAGAGCATCATTTATTGCAGACTCTTGACTCTGAAGTCCTGTGGCACTAACTTGTACCCTCTTCCCTTCACAGGATGGTTCCCACCTCAGTGGAACGACTCCGAGAAGGAGGGAGCATCCCCAAGGTCCTCCGAAGCAGTGTGAGGGTGGCCCAAAAAGGAGAGCCTTCTCCCACATGGGAGAGTAATATCACAGAGAAAGACTCAGGTGAGCCTTCTGCTGCCAGCCGAGTTTAGGGACACATGAGCCAGGCTTTACACAGTTCTCACCAAATGCTGGCGTGAGGTGAGTCCATTTCTTATGCAGTTGGGCTCCACTGTATGGAAGGTGCCAGGTCAGTCTTGGTTCTATTCTTCTGGACTACGGTATTAAGATCTAGCATTGCACGTGCGCTCTTATTCTCTAGTCTCTCTCCATCTTTCTGTTTCTGCCTTTTTTTCCCCAAAGGATACCTTTCTATAGCTCTTCTCTCTCCAAAGAGCTTGAAATCCACTGTGATGAAGGATTAAGAGCAAGAAGGAGACAGGAGTCTGATCAGACATTTAAAACATAGCCCATAATTAACCACTCTTTTTGCCCTGTGGCATGATGCCCTCACCTGATTTGTCAGAAAGAAAGCAGTGTGGGTTGGTGATGACATTAGTGATTGGAATGAACAATGGCTATTTCTCGATTATTCTAGGAAGCCATGTTGATTTGGTATTGTCTTCCAGACCCTGCAGATGGAGAAGGCCCAGAGACACTGAGCTCAACCCTCTCTAAAGGAGCAGCCGTTTACAGCCCTTCCAGATACAGCTACCAGGTGAGACGAGAAATTGCTCATCTCTGGGCATAGGAGTATGTTCTGGGTTCCAAATATTTTGTGATCCTGGCCATCCTTTGCAGTTGAGATGCCGTCTTTGCATATAGTTTCCGCAGCCTTGGAAATAAGTCATCATCTGCTCACCTTCAGGTAATAAATCATGGCAGAAAAATAAATAAAGTGATCAGAGACAGCCATTTTACTGTCTTTGGTATCCTAAAAAGAACAAATGGTTAAGAAGATGAAGAAGATGAAGAAGGAGAAGTAGAAGAAGAAAAAGAAGAAGAAGAAAAAGTAGGGTATTTTAAATATTCATAAGCCTAAATGGCTTAAATGGGGACTTTTTCACCTCCTTATGCTTTTCCTCCCGACTCTTTCTAGCTCCTGCAGTGTGATAGTCCACGGACAGAATCACAAAGCCTCCTTCAGCAGAGTTCCTCCCCCTTTAGAGGACATCCCACCCAATCTCCAGGATACAGTTATCGAACTACTGCACTGAGACCTGGAAACCCCCCCTCTCACGGTTCTTCAGAATCCTCCCTCTCTTCTACATCCTATTCCAGCCCCGCCCACCCTGTATCCACAGACTCGTTGGCCCCATTTACGGGGACACCAGGGTATTATAGCAGCCAGCCACATTCTGGAAACAGCACTGGCAGCACTCTTCCAAGGAGGAGCTGCCCTTCTAGTGCTGCTAGCCCTACCCCACAGGGCCCCTCAGACTCGCCGACCTCAGACTCGGTCTCCCAGTCCAGCACAGGAACTCTGAGTTCCACCTCCTTCCCTCAGAACTCTAGGTCGTCATTGCCATCAGACTTACGGACTATCAGTCTGCCCAGTGGGCAGTCCGCTGCCTACCAGGCCTCCAGGGTATCTGCGGTTTCCAATTCACAGCACTACCCACACCGTGGGAGTGGGGGTGTGCACCAGTACCGACTCCAGCCTCTGCAAGGCTCAGGAGTCAAGACTCAGACAGGACTTTCCTAGGGCTTCTGGATTTGGGCAAACAGAACTGAATGAGCCCATAGCTGCTTCCTTCCAGCTGCCTCTGGAACCTAGGCCGAGCATATTGCTGGGGAAGAGGGTACAAGGTGCCAGAGGACTGGGTCTGGTCGACAAGAAACGAGACTTGTGGTCGCGACTGGCTCTGGCCTTGGAGAAAGATGTAAATCTTGTCTGAAGCAGAGACTATAAAGAAGTTTCTCCCTGCTGTTAAGGGTACATTGTTGACAAGCAAATGGTGTTCCGGTTAGTAACGGTTCTAAGTGCAATGAGTCGTGTTGAAGCCTCTGTCTCCCGTCCTTGCCTGTAGCCTGTAGTCACTTGTGCAGTGGGGACATCTTTTTACACACACACACACACGCGCGCACACACACACACACACAAAGTTTTGTTTTCAGAGGAAAAAAATGAAAAGAGCCAATCTCAAAGCCCCAAGCCATCTGAGTAACAGTAGGGTTTTATGCACTTAAGAAGAAAGGTAGGTATGTAAGTGTTCACCCTGTGACAACCATTCCAAATGCAAGTATCTGGCCAAGATGTGTCCACCAAGAATGCTCCATACCCTTGTCTTAAAGTCACCAAGGATATAGGCAGGGATGGCAGAGCTTGGAATGTGCTCTGGCTGAGGGGTGCCTGGCTCTCTGAAGAAGAGCTCCTAGTCACCTGGATTCAGGAGCAGATGATTGTCTGAACCCCCAGCTGTTCCCATACCACTCCCCTCCCCAAGCTGTCTCACAGCTCAGTAACCCAGAAAGTAGACAAAAGAGGAATAAGTGAGATGGGCCAATTGCATTGCTACTTATCAGCTGTTGGCAATAAATTTGATTAGTAAGGATCCCAAGTGTTTTGGGACTTCTTTGAATTTTATTTTTTCTACTCCCAGTTAATCAGGAGTTGACGATCCCATGAGTAGGACCGCCTCCATGATTAGGGAGCGCGCACTTGTGACTGCAGGGTAAGAGTGGAAAGATACGTTTGTGGAGTGGCACCGACAGGACTGTGATTGTGTGTGGGCAAGTCCCACATTTCTTTGGGGGATGCTTATTTGAGAGTGGCCCAGGTGAGAGTTACAAAGCCACCCACACACCTAACACTGTTCTGGATGAGAGACGCGAGCAGACTGGCTTCTCCCCATCAGTGCATTGTGCCTGCTGTACACCCCTGGAGGAGCCCTGGAGCCTGCCCAGGTGGGGTACACAATCTTTTTAAAATTCCATACGGTTGCCAGCTTATTTCTTTCACTTGTTTACTGTAATATCCGGCGTGTTTTTATTTATCTAATTTTGTATTCAGTTATAACCATGGTAGGGGTAGCAAATATATGACAGGTGTAATCCCTGGTGCTGCAGTGGACCTTACTTCTTTTCTTTTGGACAAGATAATACTGTGAGTCTCCCTCCTTCCTTCCAATTTGTTTTCTCCTCCTTTTTCCCCCCAGCCTCTTGCATCCCCTTCTTTTCTACCCTCTCTTACAACTATCATATGCACAGTCTTCTCTCTTTGTGTGTGACTGTTACAAAATTTCACTTTTTCAAAATTGAAATCAGGTGTTTGCTCAAATGAGGGGAGATTTTTTTTTTTTTTTTTAAATGCTGAGACCTCAGCAGAATACTTTTCTTTTTTGTTGTTTCCCCCACAAACCCATCAGTCTGGGAGAGCGTTGGGAGTGGAAATCATGTTGCCTGGGATGCTGGTTTCTTTGTATATTATATAAAACGTATGTAAATGTCTCTCCATTTGGGCTGGGGTTTGCATTCTCCCCTTGGCTGTTAACCAAGGGGAGAGGCCAGCGGGCAGGCGGCCCTCACCCTGCCTGGCACGTGCAGAGACCCCAGCCACTCTGTGTGGGCAGGGTGCTGTCAAGACCAGACCTCTGGGGGGGGGAGGGGCGGGGGTGGGGTGGGGGGGACTCTTGGAAGGGAAGAAGTATCACTTCTTTCTCAAGTGGAGTGTTTACACCTTGCTGTAACATTTGAACTTTCACAAGAGATGTAATAATTTTGATAATAAAATTCTTAACCATAACAATCATAAAGTTGAGAACTTCTTTGTGCAATTCTGTGACCTTGCCTTACCTGGTTTTCCTAATGCCACCCTTACCTGAAGAGGCATGATGGACCCATGTTCAGGAGAATGTGCTTTTGGTGCAGTTGTTTTCCACGTAATGGACCAGAAATGTGGATTGATCTTCCTTCACCCTTTTTTAAAAAATGTTTGTTTATTTTTTAGAGAGAGGAAACAGAGAATCCCAGAGAATACCATCAGCTCAGAGCCCTAGGCGGGGCTCAAACCCACCACCCTGAGCCAAAATCAAGAGTCAGATGCTTCACCAACTGAGACACCCAGGTGCCCCTCCTTTTAGCCTTTTATGATTAAAGTCAAGCTATTATCAAGGCCATTCAGCAACAGCGAAACTAAACATTGCAAACTGGTTTCAGCCTGATGAGTTTTTGACCTTGGCCTCATTCATTTAGTAACAGTTTATTGGCCCTCTTCTTTCCCATTCAAAAATAATGCCAGGCGTAGTTTTTAGTGGTGGGTTTATGCTGGTTGAATGGGGGATGGGGATAGGCAAATAAGGTCTCATGGAGCTGCTTTTCTAGAACAGGGTGAGAACTAAACCAGTCCAGAATTTCAAATAGTCATTACCACATTATTGTTTCATAGCAGATACATAACTAAGGATGTTAAGAATGTGCCATTCTAGACTGGTTGATCTGGAAAGGTCTCTGAAGAGTTTACATTTAAGCTGAGACCTCAGCTGATAAGGAGGCAGTCATGTGTCAATATGAATAAAGACCATTCCAGGGGAATTGGAACAGTAGATGCAAACCCTCTGAGGTGGAAGAGACTTGACACAGTGAATGACCAGGACAGGGATGGGCGTATCAAATATCCAGGAAGATAGGGGGCTGGATCATAAAGAGAAGGGTCAACAAAAATGTTTTCTGTAAAGGGCCAGATAGTAAATATTTAGGCTTTGCAAAGCATGTGGTCTCTGTGAAAACCATTCAACTACTCTGTGTTACAATATGAAAACAGCCATAGGCCATTCTTGGGTGTGCTCCATTAAAATTATTTTCACAGAAACAAGTAGCACGCCGGATTTGTCCTATAAGCTGTAATTTGCTGGCTCCTGATAAAGAGCCTTGTGGGTTTAAAGAATCTGGATTTTAAATACAGCGGGAAAGTCCTTGCGGGATTTTAAGTACAGAAGTGACATACTTTGTGGCTTGTTGGTTGGTTAGTTTTAAAAAAGATTGATTGTTTTGATCTTGGAAGAGATTAATAGAAGCCAAGAAACTAATTCGGAATCTATAGCAATTATTTAGATAGGAAGCAATACAAGCAATACTAATCTGGTAGTTAACAAGGATATGCTGAAGTAGTTGAAATCAGAATATGTTTTGCCAGTAAACAGCAGTGCTTGCTGGTGGTTTGGTATGGCAGTATTTTGCCCTAACAATTATTTGACAGATACTTAGTGAAGGCTCTGATAGACTGCATTTTGCAGATAAGCACTGGAAGAATTCAAAGATGGAGAAGATGCTATCCATTTCTTTAAGGAACTTAGAACATAACCATTTGGGGGCGCCTGGGTGGTTCAGTCAGTGAGGCATCCAACTCTTGGTTTCATCGCAGGTCACAGTCTCAGTTCTTGAGTTCGAGCTGTGCATTGGGCTCCGTCTGCACTGACAGTGCAGATTGGGATTCTTTCTCTCTCTCCTTCTCTCTGCTCTTCCCACTCTAAGGTAGGTAGGTAGGTAGATAAAAAGTAACCAGTTAGAGGGGCGCCTGGTGGACTCAGCCAGTTAAGCGTCTAACCCTTGATTTCAGCTCAGGTCATAATCTCATCATTTGTGAGTTCGATCCCCACATTGGGCTCAGTGCAGAGCCTGCTTGGGATTTTCTCTCCTCCCTGCTCTCTGGCCCTCCCCCACTTGTTCTCTGTGTCTCTCTCGAAATGAATAAACTCTAAAAAAAATTTTTAAGTAATAGGAATGAGGCAAAGAAAGGAAGAAGTCACCTCTTGTAGAATATTGTATTGGAAGTCATAGGTGATGCAATAGGACTAGAAAAAATAAAAAGCACACGGATTGGGAAGGAAGAAGTGAAACTGTCTTTGTTCACAGATGACATAATTGTAGAAAATCTGAAAGAATTGAGAAAATCTCATAGGTTTTTGCTTATACTGAGCATGTATAGCAAGGTTGCAGAATACAAGAGTAATTAATATACTTTGCTTTCCTGTATACCACTAGCAATTGGAATTTGAAAGCCAGAATGCAACATTTACATTATCACCAATAAAAGTGAAATAGGTATAAATCTTAATATGTACAAGACTTAAATGGGGAGAACGATAAAACTGATGACAGAAATCAAAGGAGAACGAAATAAACAGATATTACATGGTCCTGGATAGTAGGAGGAGTCCCTATCACAAAGTCAGTTCTTAACTGGTCTATAGATTCAGAATCCCAGCAAGTTATTTTGTAGATATCAAAGGACTCAGAATAGCCAACACAATATTGAACAGAAGAACAAAGAAGAGTAACACTACCTGACTTCAAGACTAAATAAAGCTACAATAATCAAGACTTTGGTACTGGAGGGGTGCCTGGGTGTCTCAATCAGTTAACCCTCTGACTCTTGATTCCAGCTGAGGTCATGACCTGTCAGTTCATGAGATTGAGCCCCAAGTCAGGTTCTGTGCTAACAGCACGGAGCCTGCTGGGACTCTGTCCCTCTCCCTTCCTCTCTCTCTGCCCCTCCCCTGCTCACATGTTCTCTCTCATGCTCTCAAACTTAAGAAGAGGGGGGGGAAAATGTGGTATTGGAATAAGAATAGGCAAATAGACAATGTAACAGACTAGAATACCCAGAAACAGATTACACTCAGATGGTCAACTGACCATTTGACAAATGAGCACAGGCAATACAGTGAAGAAAAGATAGACTTTTCAACAAAGGTGTCATAACAACTGGATATCCATATCCAAAGTAATCTAGACATCGTACTTACACCCTTAATGAAAATTAACTCAAAATGGATTATGACCTATATGTAAATATGAAAACTATTAAACAATCCAGAAAACTTTGGGTTTGGCAGCGGCATGGCAGATAAAAAACCCCAAAGCCCCCATCCATGAATGAAATAATTGTTAAGCTGGACTTCATTAAAGTTGACTTCTGCTCTGCAACAGGCATTGTCAACAGAATGGGAAGACAAACCAGACTGGAAGAAAATACTTGAAAAAGACACATCTGATAATATCAAAGACTTGACTGTTACCCAAAATACACAATGAACTCCTAAAATGAAACAAGGAAACAGCCTAAAGCAATCTGCAAATTCAGGGTTGTCTTTATCAAAATTCCAGTGGCATTTTTTACTGAAATGAATAGTTCTGAAATTTAAATGGAGACACAAAGAACCTGAATAGCCAAAGCAATCATGCAAAGAACAAAGCCGAGACAAATGCTTTCTGATTTCAAACTATACTACAAAGTTAGAGTAATCAAAATAGCATGGTACTGGCATCAAAACAGACATATAGATCAGTAGAAAAGAGAGCCCAGAAAGAAACCCACACATATAGGGTCAATTAATTTACAACAGAGGACCCAAAATATACAATGGGGAAAGACCATCTCTTCAATAAATTATACTGAGAAAACTGGACAGTCACGTGTAAAGGAATAAAACTGAACCACTATCTTACACCATACACAAAAAAACTAACTAAATGCATTAAAGACTTGAATGTAAGACCAGAAACCATAAAATTGGAAGGAAACAGGCAGTGAGCTCCTTGACATCCGTCTTGGCTGTGAGTTTTTGGATTTGACACCAAAGCAAAGGCAACAATAGGACAAACAGTGAGACTACCTCAGACTAAAAAGTTTCTGCGTAACAAGGGAAATTGTCAATGAAATGAAAAGGCAACCTATGGAATAGGAGGAAATGTTTGCAAATCATATATCTGATAAGGGATTAATATCCAAAATCTATAAAGGATTGACACAACTTACTAACTCAGGCAAATTTAAAGATGGACACAGGATCAGAATAGACATTTTTCCAAAGAAGAGTTAAGTGTGGCCAACAGGTATGTGAAAAGGTATTCAACATCACTAATCATTAGGTAAGTGCGAATAAAAACCACAATAAGATGTCCTCTCAGGGCACCTGAGTGGCTTAGTCCATGAAGCGTCGGACTCTTCAGGTCACGATCTCAGAATTTGTCAGTTCGAGCCCCACCTCAGGCTCTGTGCTGACAGCCTGGAGCCTGCTTGGGATTCTTTCTCCTCTGCCCCTCCCCTGTTCACACACTCTCTCTCTCAAAATAAATAAACTTTTTATAAAGATTTTAAAGATGTCATCTCACACCTGTTAGAATGGCTTTCTACGCCACCCCACCCCACCACCAGTCTGGAAGCCAGTTGAATTTCTGATGGAGTTTCCTTACAATGGGGTGGCTAGGTAGGGGGTGGCCTGACCCTCCCCATCCTGCCCTGGTCTCCAGGGATAGGAGCAGAAACAAAGTTTAAGGCTCATGCTGCTGCTATGTCCTGGATGCAGCAACATGGAAAGTCGTGTTAATCAAGGAACCAATCCCTCTAAACTCTGTGGTAAAATGGCTCTTCTTAAAAAGACAAGAAATAAACAGTGTTGGTGAGGATATGGAGAAAACGGAACCTCTGTACAGTTTCCGTGGGACTGTAAATTGGTGCAGCTAATGTGGGAAATGCTATGGAGATTTTTCAAAAAATTAAAAATTGAACTATATGATCC